GGGGGTAGGGAGCGGTGTGGGCGCGGGAGGCGGAGGGAAGGAAGGGGGAGAGCGAGCGGAGCTGGAGAAGGGAGGAAAGGGTGCCTGAGCGCGGGCCGAAACCTCAAGGTACGTGGGGGAAGGGGTCCTTCCCGGGGTTGGGAGGGAGCCCAGCCTGCGAGGCTTGCGGGAGTGGAGGGGTACTCGCTCCCAGAAAGTAGCGGGATAGCAGAAAGCACCTCCTGGGGTGGGGGTGGGGGATGATAGAACTGCGAGACATAAAATGTCTAGGGCACATTTTATTTTAAATCACGGGGGTGGGGGGCGTACTGCTGCTAGGAGAAATGATTTGGAGGGTGGTTGGAGAGTTGACCCCATCTTCTTTTGTGGGTGGAGTGAAGCCTGGAGCTGAGTGGGGTGGGGTCCTGGAGGAAGGAAGTGCTTGGGGAATGGGGACATTTGGGTTCTGAGGGTGATAGAAGAAAGGCCGTTTAAAGAGGAATCTTTGGGAGGAGGGAAAATGATTTGGAGCACCTTATTATGGTGAGAAGAATGGAGGGGAGGAGGTTTAAAGAAAAGAAGGCAGAGAATAGTTTTCTTGGGAGGTATGTTAAGGGGCAAAATATTGGTAAATGATTCCAGCAAAAGTCTAGGCGTAGTTGGGAGGGGATTGGAGGAAAGGGAAGTGGATGGAGGAGCTCCAGAAAGTGTGCGAGATGAGAAATAGGAAGTGTTTGTATCTCTCTAATTGGAAGGGTGGGAATGGGCCAGGCTGGAAAAGACAGCATAGAAGGGAGACGCTGAACAGGGCTAGGGAAGGGGCTTGGGGAGAAGTAGGGTGCTGTGTTAGTAAGGGGAGGAAAGGCTGAGATGGGGCTGCAGAGTAGAAGAAGATGGAGAACTGGAGTAACTCAAATCGACTGAAGCCATCTTTTCCACCCATTGTCTACAAATACCAGTAACTGATTCCCACCAACTGGAAATCCTGAAATGTGATGGGAAAGTACCACGTATATGCATAGCATCTACACACGTTTTTGAACACACTCTTCACTAAAGAAAAGTTTGGAAGCATTCAGTACCACTACCCTCCATGGCCCCTTTTTTGAGGGAAGCAAGTGTCATTTAAAAACAGGATTGTAGACTTAGTAACATAAGCCTAAGAAGAGACCAAGATCCTCTTTGAAACTAAGGCCGTACCCTTCAGTCACAAAACCACGGTAACACTACTAATAAAAGTAATAATATATTCATTTGTGTATAAAACTTCCTCAGTTCATATAATGGAAAGGCACATAGAGAAATAGTCATCACATTCAAAGAAAGGACCTTTCAGAGCCTAATCCCTGAAGCAGTTTGGTGAACCTTCACTGCAGTGTTTGAATTGTTCTTCAGTTGTGTAAACTTTTGGGAGTGAAATTTGAGACAGGGTCTTGCTATGTAGTTCAGGCTACCTTGAATTCTCTATGTAGCCCAGGCTGACCTCGAAGTACCAGTGATCCTCCTGCCTTGGCCTCCCAACTTTTGGGATTACAGTGCCACCATGCCCAGTTTAAGTTGTCTGCACTTAATTTTGCTCTGTAGATCTACTGCTTTTTTAGGATTTTTTTTTTTTAAACATTCAAATGATTTATATAGTTTATATAAGTGGCATTTTACTAGATATATACTAAGAAAATGCCAAGTTTCTCCAGGTAATCAATAGCCTATTGGTTGAAGTTTTACCTTATGTTGGGCACTGTGCTGAAAGCTCTGTGTTTATTACCGTATCATTACCTACCTGTTGAGGTAAGTGCTTTATGCTCAATTTGATAGAGAAACTTAGGAAGTTACATAACTCACTGTCACACAGGTGATACTGTGGAATTCAGATTGGCTTAACTAGTTATCACTAAAAACACAAATCCCCAGGACCAAACAAATTAAATATATACTTTGACAATTTGCAGATAAACTGTGTCATGTATTCAATTATTTTAAAACATACTGATTTATTTGCATTTTTAAGTGGTCATGACTTCACTCCAGTTTTGTTTTTAACTTATTTATGTTTTTGAGACAGGGTCTCACTATGTTGTTTTTGAACTTCCTTGATCCTCCTGGGATTACAGGCATGCCCCATTGTGCCCAACTTCCACTCCACCCCTACTCCCCCACACACACACAGTGGAAATTGAACTCAGGACCTTGTACTTGCCAAGCAAATGTGGCACCACCAAGCTACATCCCCAGTCTCCATTCCCGTTTTTTAAATCAGAGATTGGCAATAAATGCCTAATTCCCTTTCTTTAAAGAAAAGTACTGGAAGAGCACATGCCTAGTATATGCAAGGCCCTTAGTTCAATCCCCAGCACCAAAAGAAAATACAGAATGCATAGAAATGTTCTCATTAGAACCAAAGCATTGAGAACAAGTGTATTGGCACATGCCTATAATCTGAGCATTTGGGAGGATTGCTACAAGCCTGTCTAAGAAAAGAAAAAAAAAAAAGGATAAAACATTGTTTAGCTCTAGAAAAATTTAGTTATTTGTAGTTAGGTTAAATCATTGAGTCATTGCTTTTTTTTTTTAAATTAGGTATGGCTATATATTAAGATATATCACGCTTCTGCCACATTTTATTTTGGGAGCAGTTAGCATTATGAGGGTTATTGTTTAGGCTGTTACCTTTAAAACTCCTAAAATATTTAATAATTCAGACAGCAAAGGATAAAAACTTTTGTCAAAGGTTAGAATGAACCCATGACAAAGAACATCTATCCATTTGGCTTTGTTTTAATACTGAGGAAAAGAGATTCAGGATAAAGTTTTCAATCCTGAAGGTGATGAATTCATACCTAGAGGTTTCAAAAAAAACCCCCTATGAATTAAGTGAAAAGCAAGCTTAATGTTTTTAATTGCTTACCTCAGGATGTATTAACCACTTAGGTGGCAAATTATAAGGTTACTTATTTGCTACTTTATAATAGAGATGTTATGAGAATGAGGATAACATTTGTAAACTATCCTACCTGCCCTCTTGCAAAAGGTACTGTACATGACAGGGCTGAGTTCAAGGAGGACTACGAGAGAGAGTGTAATGTAGAGTGTTTAGGTTCCACATCCTAGCCTTACCACCTACTGGCTATATGATCAGTTGCTTAACCTTTAACTTCCCAGCCTCTTTCATCTCTAAAAGGAAGTGAGAACACCTCATAGTGTGGTTTTTAGGATGAAATGAGAGGATCCAATAAGTGTTCAGAAAATAATAACTTATTTGAGAAATTGAGCTTTTTTTTCTGTTTATAAGGTGTGCATAGATAGCTGCTGGTGGTGATGCTTTAATCTGTCAGGTTCTTTTTTGGGGGTACTGGGGGTCGAACTCAAGACCTTCTGCTTGCAAGGCAGGCATGATGTCACTGAGCTAAATCCCCAGCCCTCTCAGGTTCTTTATAAGATTTGACTAGTTCAAGCTGGGAATTGTGACACATACCTGTAATCCTAGCACCGGGGAAGCTGAGGCAGGAAGATCATGGTTGGAGACCATCCTGGGGTACAAAATGAGTTTCAAGGCTAGCCTAAACTACATAGCTAGACCCTGTCTCAAAATTTTAATAGTTCAAAATAAAGATAGAAACCAAAAGGCAAATAAGGTATAGCTCAGATTGGTCTGATTCTAGCCAAAACTTTTGAGTTTGGGTTAGGGTTCCCATTGTTGGTCTACATTGGTTCTTTGAATCCTGGTTTCTTTGTTGCTGTATGATTTGTTCAGAGGCCTTGTAATTTACTGCTATCCTGATAACACACTAATTTAAGTGTGGAATTCATGTGAGGCAGGTTTAAATTAAGTAATATTTCTAGAAAATTTGAGGACAGTGGCTTTTTTAAAGAATAAAATTGAGTTAATTGAAATGAATTTTTAAAAAGTTTTATTTACAGAAATGAGGTAATTAAGTGTATAGAATTTATGTATTGTTTATTAGCCTAGAAAAAGCAAGTACAAACCTTTCCTCCATTTTAAAAGATTGAGGGCAGAGAGCATAATCTATTACAGAGGAAAGAGTTTTAGTTTTCCCACCATCTTTCCATTTCTCCTGGGCTGTACACTGGTTACAGCCTATGAGACTGATTCCACTCTGAAATATAATGAATTTGAACAGTCATTTTTGAAAAGTCACATCACAGAAATTTCTTCCTGACTACAGTTACCTTGTCAATCTGGAATTATTGTTGGTAACCACAAACATTTTAGTTGGTTGTAGGCAAATCTGAGATTGAACTGGTCTCTGTTAGAGACTTACTAGGAAGCTCTTCCTGTAACTCTTTGCCTTCAAATCCTTGTTCTTGATGTAACTGCGATTTCTAAACAGATCAGACCTTAGAGCAAAGAAGTGGAAATTCCTGTAGTTGTCTGTCATTGTTGTTAGAATGAGTTGAGACTTAAGATACAGAAATCTTTGTTACATAGAGAATTTTCATTATTATGTTACTCTGTTTGACTTAAATTGTTGGTTGGTTGGTGTCGGGGATCGAACTCCAGTCCTTGCACTTGCAAGGCAGACAGTAGAAACACTGAGCTAAATCCCTGGCTTATGACTTAAATAGTTTAAGTAGCACTTAAGCCAACATGCTCAGACCAAAAGTGTTCAAGATTTGGAATTTTTCAGGTTTAGGAATGTTTGCATAGACTTAATAATGAACATTTGTAATTTGAAAACCTAAAATGCTCTGACATTTGAAACTTTTTGAGTGCTGACATGATGCTCAAAAGTTTTCAGATTAGGGATGCTCAATTTGTACTATACTTATTCCCCACTTATTTTTCTAATTTTTTTCTGCTCTCACATGAATAGAAACAGATTGATTTTCATGTACTTATATCCTTTTTAATCTGCTGCACACTAAATGAAAATATATTCACAGTTCCTGCCACATCAATCAGGTTATGTCCTCATTTCAGTAACCAGAGATACCTATTCTGGCCAAGAGGACACTAGCCTAAAAATCTCAAGGAACAAGAACATGAATAATAGAATATATGATATCTTAAAGCACTTAAAGTTTACATTCACTAAAGGGATGTTGTACCCATGTTTCTTTAACACAGGGTCTCGATTTTAGAACAGGCTGGTCTTGAATTTGAGCCAATGCTCCAGCCTCAGCCTCCCGAGTGCTGGGATTAAAGGAGTGTACCACCACACCTGGCCCCATATTTCATAGTAACTTATTAAATACACCCTGATATATGCATAATATATATATATTCCCAGATCAATTCATAGGCTCCTCTGCACTAGACTTATACTAGCTGGGTTTGCACATCATTTGTATATGATTCTGAAGCATCCCAGTAGACCTAGGAAGAAACAAGTTTTTACCATCTTGTTAGGGTACAACAACAGAATGGTGAAGTACAGAATGGCAAGACTGGGCCACAGAATGCTTGTTTTCAAGATACTGCTAGATGCTTGCCAGTACCACTAGATGTACTCAGAGCTGGCTGTGGTGTGTTTGTGTGGTCCCAGCTACTTGGGGAGCAGGAGCTAAGGCGGGTGGATCATTTGAACCCAGCCTGGGCAACAGCAAAAATCTGCTCTCAGGGTTTGAAGCCCTGAGGATTGGTATACAAGTGCCAGTCTGTCCAGGCAACCAAATGTCGGTTTTCCTTTGTTCATTTAGGGTACCATTGTGAATTTCTGTTCTAACAGGAGACTGTCCAGGAAGTGAAATGTACTGAAAATATTTCTGTATCCACTTTTCTTAAACATACCATCTCAAACCTGTGGCCGAAGAATGTGAGATTGATTTTGATTGTCAGTATAGGGTCTATCTTCTCAACCCTGAGTTTCCCAGAAGATACTCACCTACGTGAATACTTTGTTGCTTCTCTTAAACCACTTTATTTTGCCGTAACATTTACTGTATTATCAGTTGTCAAAAGGATATTCATAGGAACCCTTTTTCAGTCTGTTTGCATTATGGAGTCTTTTAATCTATGGCTGCTTTCCTTCCTTCCTTCCTCCCTCTCTCCCTTCCTTCCTTCCTTCTTTGTACTGAGGATTGAACTCCGGATCTTGCGCTTATGAGGCAAGCAGCAGAATCACTGAGCTAAATCTCCGAGCTGCTGCCTGCCTCGCAAGCACAAGGTCCCGAGTTCAATCCCTGGTAACTAAAACAAATAAATCTCCAGCTTCTCTATGGCTGATTTTCTAAATCATAGGCAAAGTTATCAAATGATCATTTGCTCTTCTTGTCCTCTAGGAAATTAGCTCTTCCCAATAGAACTTGGTCTTTAAAGTAATTTGACATGTATTATATTTCATCAAAATATTTCGGTGAATCATAATCTGGGTATCATGATAGATATTAAGTCACTTGTATGTGATCACACCGTAGAGTCTATACTTGAAGGCCAAAGTTAGAGTTATCTTTTCATCTTCCAGAAACTTAAGAGGAAAAGGATTTTAAAAGTACTTTTGCATGTGGTGGCATATGCCTGTAATCCCAGCACTTTGGAGACTGAGGCAGGAGGATTGCTGTGAGTTTGAGGCCAGCCTGAACTACACAATGAGACCCTATCTCAAAAACCAAAAAAAGTACTTCTAGATTCTGTTGATTGTAATGGTAATGGTGGGATCTCTTTGAAGACCTTTGCCCTCAGAGCTGGTGTTAATGTCTGTTCTAAGGGCCACGACCTATGCTGCTGTAGTAGGTCTGGCTTTACCTGGTGCCCTTTTGCCATTCTTACCAGAACTTAGAAGTGTGCAGTACCTGCCAAATGCCTAGATTCATATTCATTCTTACTGGCACTTGTTTTTTTCTTTTGGGAAGGCAGAATTGGGTAGTGGTTATGAGTGTAGGTGGCCTAGATTTCTGTCTTGGCTCTACCATGCTTACTGTATGAGAACTACTTACAAGCAAATGACTTACTCTCTGTATGTCTCTGTAGCCTCATTTACAAATTACATACTTGTATATTATGGATTTTTCATGTCAAATGAGATATCACCACAATATGTGCACAGGATCCAGTCTGTAATACAAATTCAGAACATACTAGCTGCTACTTCCAGTTAAAGTCCATGTGAGTTAACCAACTTTCTGTTCCCAGTGTGTTAGGCGCTATGGGAATAGTTGTCCTATAAGGCTACAGACACTATACTACCTTTCTCCAGAGATCCAAAATGAAGATTAACATATCAGGAAAAAAATGTGTTTACTATTTTAATCAAGTATTTGCTGAGCTTGTGCACATTTTTACCTATTAACTTTCTACACTGCAGTTGGTAATCACTGAACTAACAACCTTCCACTAACCTCCATATGTACAGTATGTTTGAAGGGCTTAGCCAGAAGCTGTAATTTTGGTCCACCATCCCCTGAACCCTCTGAGTTGAATTCTGTCCTTTCCAAGAAAGATACAAGTGCAAATAAAATCAGTTGTCCCCAGGCAAAATGTCCCATTTTAGCTGTTGTTGTAGAGTACCCCACACTTTTCCACGAGGTGGTGCTATTGTATAAAATGAATCTAATTCTCTCCCTGTTGGGGTGTTTTCATATCTAAATGGTAAGGGAGTAGCTGGCAGTGATGGCAGACACCTGTAATCCCAGCACTCAGGAGCGTTAGGAGGATCTCAATGAGTTCCAGACCAGGCTGAACTACATAGACCCTGTCAAAAAACCATAAAAATAAATGAAAGGTGGTCAAAGCATATATTGAGAATCACATCAGAAGTCAGCCTAACTGTTCACTGGAGTTGTTAAAAAGGACTTTTCAGGAGCCAGGGATTCAGGTCAGTGGTTCCGCTGCCTGCCTTGAAAATGCAAGGACCCGAGTTAAATCCCTGGTACCAAAAAAAAAAACAAAAAAAAAACAGGACTCTTTCCGTTCTCCTAGCTTTATTTTTAGTTAAAGAAAAGCCCTCTAAACCTAGAAATATACGAAGTGGTAGACATGAAGTTTATGTCATTACTAAAGGAAAAAATAAAATGTAAACATTTCTTTTTAAAAAGAAATGTACAAAGGGCCGGGGATTTGGCTCAGGCGTTCCAGTGCCTGCCTCACAAGCTGCAAGGGTGTGAGTTTGATTCCTGGTGCCAAAAAAAGGGAAATGTACAGAGGAGAAAATAGGATACCTCAAGAAAGGCAAGTTAATGTTTGTGGTCAAGGGTGATCCTGAGCCAGGCATGGCGGTGCATATCTTTTAACACCAGCTGCTTGGAAGCCTGGGCCAGGAAGATACAAATTCAAAGCCAACCAGAAAGATAGGGAGTATAGCTCAGTTGTTGAGCACTTGACTAACATGCAAAAAGGCCCTGTGTTTGTTTAATCCTCAGTACTGCAAAAGAACAAAAACAACAAAAAAAAAGTGGTATCTGCACTATGCCCTGGGTTCATATTCTATTCTGGTTTTGAGTACAGTTACAATACCCATTTTTCAAATTGAGTTGACTGATGGTGAGTGAGTGTGTGTGTGTTCCTGCATACACGTGCACAATTTGAATGTCAAAAACCGAGGGTGTAGCACAGTAGGCAAGCACCCTACGTCTGAGTTACTTCCCCAGCCCAGCTGTTGATAATCTTTAGCCACATTATCTCATGTACACAATCAGAAAGCTTACACCTTAGGACACTGTTAGGGATACAAAGTAATGTATGTCTAAAGCACTTTTAAAAAGTCCCTGTCACACAATAATGATATCTAGCTGTCATTTTGTTATTAACTGTCATTGTTATCCTGATTTTTTCTTTTTCTTTTTCTTTTTTTTCTCTACAGTTTATTTTAAGTTGCTTTTTAAAGAAGGAAAGCTCATGGTGCAAATTGTAATTTCTAGGTGAGTACATTTTGAGATTTTTATTTAGCATGAATGGTTATATACAGGTTTCACATTTTTCTGGAAGAATCAGGGTCTTCAGGTACATCTTGCATAAATCTTTGCATTAAGATCTCTAGTTCAGTGCCTTGCACTGCCCAGTTTCCCAAGTCATGCTCAACAGAGTTCCTTTGGGCCTTGAATGGTGGTGTAGGACTTTATTCATCCTTCACCCCTCAAAAATATTGTAACCGCCAGCCCTTTGCTTGCAGTGCAGGGGCAGAAGGCCTTGCAGAATGGGTGCTGATGGAGCTACAGGGGGAGATCGAGGCTCGCTACAGCACTGGATTAGCCGGAAACCTCCTGGGAGACCTACATTACACCACTGAGGTGAGGGGGTTTTCTTTCCCTGCCTAATGCCTCAGGAAAGCAAGCTACACCAAGGTGGTGCTCCCAGGACCCAGAGTGAGGACTGCCCTCAGGTTTGTTATTCAAGGTCTAGCTAATCTGCAGAGCTACCTGCTTGTTCTTTCCCCATCTCTGCAGTAGCAGGGAAACAGCTTTGGGGAATCTGGAAAGGTAACATTTCTGAAATGGACATTTTCATACATGGAGCAGGAAAAAGTGAAAAAGGGCAGAGGGTGGTTTGTCCAGTGTTTCTACTCAATAGTGGTAGAACCAGATCAGGGAGTGGGGGTGCCAGGAGCAGTTTTTAGAAGCCACCTAAAGTGGAATGGTCTTTCCCTGAACCTCAGGCATCTTGTTGTTCTGTCAAAGGGAGTTCCTGTGCTGATCGTGGGGCATCATATCCTGTATGGGAAAATCATCCATCTGGAGAAGCCATTTGCAGTTCTTATCAAACACACTCCTGGGGAACAGGACTGTGATGAGCTTGGCCATGAGCCTGGCACCACCCAGTACCTGGTGACAGCACTCATCAAAGACAAGATCCTTTTCAAAACCCGCCCCAAGCCCATTATCACCAACGTCCCCAAGAAAGTATGAAAGAACCGCGGATTTTCCCTAGAGAGCGGCCAACTCCTTGGACTCGTGCACCACTGCCACCACGAGGACGGCTTGACAGTTCACTGGGACCACAGGGGGGTCCTGTTCTGAACACAGGCCACCCCATAGGCATGAACTCGGATCCTTTCCTTATGGCAGCCGGTTCTCTTGGTGGAAATCTGGCCCCATTTCCAAGGAACCCATCTTTTCCATCTTCATCAGGCTCATTGGCTTCAAATCCAGCACCTTTTCCCACTGGTGCTCGTGACCCAAGTATGGCTTTTCCAAGAGGGATAAATCCTACTGGCACAGGCACAGCATCTTTCCCAAGGCCAGGTGGCCTTTTGGGTCCAGGACCACCTCTAAACCCCAGAACAGGCGCTCTTCCGGGCCCAGGTCCTATGTCTAACCCCAGGTTAGGAGGTCTCCCAGGCCCAGGCCCTATGTCCAATCCAAGGACAGGGGGTCTGCTAGGAGCAGGTCCTGACCCTAGAAGTGGTACCCCCATGGGACCTGGATCTGGACCCAATATGAGATCAGGGGTCATACTCTCTTCTGGGAATGGTCCTCCCAATCCTAGGCCAGTTGGTCTGGGCCCTGGATCAAATCCCAGTCTGAGATCAGGCTTTTTAGGTACAAACCCTGCTCCTAGGTCAGGTATGTTTCCGGGTCCAGGCCTTGGGCCCAACCCACGAGCAAGTGGTGTGGGTCCAGGTCTTGGGCCCAACCCAAGGGCAGGAAGCCTGGGTCCGGGCCCCAATCTGGACAACAGAGCAGGTGGCCTCTTGGGCACAGGATCTGGTCTTAACTTAAGAATGGCTGGACCCCAGGGCCTGGATCTTGCCCCAATTCTAAGAGCAGCAGGCCTTTTAGGAGCAAATTCTGCTCCTTTCTCACAGGCTTCTGGAAACATGGGCATAAGCCCATCATCCATGGCAAGAGTACCTGGCCCTATAGGTCCAAACACAGGTCCTAGCTCTCGAGGAATTGGCCTGCCAGGGCCAAATCCATCTCCCATGTCAAGGGCTCCTGGCCCCATAGGCCCTAATTCAGCTCATTTCTCAAGGCCAGGTGGCCCCATGGGGGTTAATGCCAATCCCTTTCCCAGGGGGACAACTTCAGGGGGACTGAACCCATCTGCCTTCTCTCAGTCTTCTGGGACATTGGCTTCAAACCCAGGTACCTTCCCAAGGTCTGCTGGCCTCCAGGGCTCAAGTCCTACAATTTTCCCGCGAGCCTCTGGGCCACTAGGCCCCAACCCAGCTAATTTCCCAAGGGCCACTGGCCTGCAGGGTCCAAGTCCAGCTGCCTTCCCAAGGTCTACTGGTCCTTTAGGCCCAGGTCAAGTTGCTTTTCCTAGATCAGCTGCTGGGCATCTGGGCTCTTCTCCAGCAGGCCCTATGGGTATCAACCCAGCTCCTTTTGCGAGGCCAACAGGAGCCCTGGGTCTAAACCCAGCTTCCTTTCCAAGGATGAATGGCCCTGTAGGCAAGAGTGTGGTTCCATTTCCTAGGGTAGGGAACCTTCCTGGCACAAACCCAGCTGCTTTCTCCAGACCAGGGGGTCCAGTGGCTGCAATGTACCCAAATGGAATGTTACCCCCTTAAACACCACTTTTCCTCCAGGACCTTTTGTTTTCCAGACACTGGTTCTGGGCAGGACTAGGTAAAAAGGTAGATACAGAGCTACTGTCTGAAGAATGTAGCTGAGACTCAAGTTCAGAAGAGCTATCTTTTTTCCTCTGTGTTTTTCTTGACTGAGGGTGAAATGTTATTTGTGGGACATGGAATGTGAAAAATTGGGAATAACTCGCCTCAAGAGAAAGGAACTTGGGCCTTCCAGAAGCCTGCTGTGCTTTTTTTCCACAGCTTCCTGCCCTTTTGTTCCCAGTTTCTTGGATTGTTCTTGTGGACTTCTCCTCAGGGATACATTGGCCTGGTCCCAGTTTATGTGTAATCCCCTGCTCCCCACTGGAGGATCAAGTCACTGCTCTAGAAACATTGCATTGGTGAATGGACCATACTTCAATAGCTCTGACATGGGCAGCTTGGACCTGGTCACTTAATGCCAGGCCTTTCCCTGGGGGCTTGAACACAATGGGGAGGTGGACAACCACTTCACCAACCCACCAAATTTCTGCTCGACTGACTAGGCCTGCAGCTCCTTTCTCCTGGACTTAGAGGTGGCCATGTTTAAGGCTCCTCTTCATCTGACTCCCTCTCTACTGGTACTCGCTATCAACCTCAAACTTTAAACATGTGGATGGGAATTAGGGTGGGGGTGGGGGGGAGAAATCACTGTGCTTCATTCAGCCTGATGTGAAGGATGGTTGGTGTTTTTCCTGCATTGTATCTTTTCTTACTGTTTCTTTAATAAATGGGATGAGAGGGCTACTCTTTGTCGCTCCTGTTGTTGCCTTTCCACTGGGAGGGAAGTTTACTCTCTGCTTTTCATTGTCTCAATTTTGACTACAATTCTCCATGACCTGCCAGCTAAAATGCTTGCACTGAAGTAGCAAGTTTTTGGGTTTTAGCCTTAGCTTGCTCACTCAACCAGATAGTTAACCACAGAGCCTGCCTTACCTCTACAGTAAAAATTATGCCACTGAGTGTACCTTCTGTATTCTTTAGTCCAGGTAGCTGGGACACCTTTATCCTATTTTTCAGTCACACTTACCATTTCTATCTCCAGCCCTTCCTGAGATGGGGGTAAGGAGCCAGCTTTATGAGCATAAAGACAGGGAGTATCTCAGAGCTACCAGCTTTAGTTTGGATCTGAAATGCCCTGCCAAAGGTGTGGTCGCCAGTGCATCAGTGTTTAGAGATGGAAGGTGGTTGGATCAAGGCTCTGGCTTCTGGATACAATAACAAGCTGTTGGGAGATAATGAAAACTTTAGGACATGGGGCCTAGTTGGAGGAAATGGGTCACTAGATAGAAGTTTGCCTTTGAAAGGGGTATTTTGTCCCCTGCCCCTTTTGCTTCCCAGCCTTCATGAAATGAGCAGCTTTTTTTCACCACACACTTGCCACCCTCACCACATATGCCCAGAAACAATGGATCTAGGTAACCATTGACAGAAAACATGAGTCACCTATTTTTCTTCAAGATGATTTATGTCAGTTATTTTATCACAGCAACAGAAAGCTAACACACCAGCATTACATGAGAATCTTTATTTTGACAAGTGCAATATAAAAATTTTGACCTGAAAAGTTAAAAAAGACTCCTGTTAAAAAGTAGCCACTGTTGATATCTGGCATTAGGACAGCAGCTGCCATGTATCCTGAAAGTAGTTGGGGGAGAGGTACTGGCTCTGCGCAGAGGTAGCACCATGGGATCATTATAAAAGCACCGCAGAGAGGCAGCCCAGGGGTGACAGTGCACAGGAGAGAAAAGCACCAGAGTGGCAGCAGTGAAGGCTAGAAGCAGAACCAGTATTGTGAGGTGGCGCAGGACAGAAGCCAAGGCCCATAGAGGCACCCATGGGCAGGACTACAGCCAGCCCCTATGGATAGGGTGCAAAGTGGGGAGAGTGGAAGACAGCTATGAGGCTGCTGCCAGCTCCAAAAATAGTTCAGGAGATAGATGCTAATCTTTCAGCATCAAGGAGGCCAATAAACTCTAGGCAAAGTTGGGGCTGAAACCCTTGCAGGTCAAGATCATGGAGAAAGAGGCAGGCACCAGGGAGGAGCCTGTGGCAGCTGTCAGGAGCAAGAAGAGCAACAGAAGCTGACAGCTGCCAAGGAAAAGCACCTGCTGAACCAAAAGCTGGGGAAGATAAAAAAATAGAAGTTGACCCCAAGGTTGCCAACAATGCATCCTGGATTGAGAGGAGCCAGCACTGTAGGAGGACTTGACAGAAAAGGCCAAGTTCTTGGAGGGCATGGACCAAGAGTTTGGCATCAGTACACTGGTGAAGGAGTTTCAGCAGAGGTACCAGGATCTGAAAATGCTGAGAAGCTGCAGGGCCACACAGTGGAACATGCCATTGATTCCCTCTGAGCTGGGGAGACTGGTCCTCACCCTTAAGGATTTAGGCATGCTCAGGAAGAGGATGTGCTGAACACAAACTGGGAGAATGAGTGGGCAGAGAAGAACATGGAGCTCTGGAAGCGGCAGCCTATCTGCCCTATGCAGAGAACAAGAGCACAGAGGACTTGGCATAATAGCAAAAACTTCATTCTATTGTGACCAAACAAGGCGAGGAGTTAGAAGGCGAGCAGCCATACTCCTGTTTGAAACAGGGCAGCGTGGTCAGTGACTTGTGGGAATGTGAGTGGGAAGATCTGGGCCACGATGCAGCTGCAGCCTCAGTCTCTGAGCCCCATGGGGCCTCAGTTCACCCCTGTGTGCCTCCCATCAGAGATGGTCCTCTTCAAAAGGACCATGGAGGATGAAAAAGTCTGCGAGGGAAATGGTAGTGTGCTGAAATGACTTGTAACATCTTGGGGGCCAATTTGGGATAGGGACTTTGGTTCCAGAGTGCAGGGTTAGGGTGGGAGCTGAGTGCTCGAAGAGGAGGCAGCAGCCCTGGAGGATGAGGAAAAGAATTCATGGTGCAGCCTCTGCTGGAGGACACCACCTGCATAGAGGACATGGACATACTTGTGACAAGGATGAGGTGAAGCTAGAGCTGCAAAAATAAGAATTGATGGCCGAGGATTTAGCTCAGTGGTTCGGTGGCCTGCCTTGCAAGCGCAAGGACCTGAGTTCAATCCCCCGTACCAAAAAAAAGAATGGATGCCAGCTGAGACAGAAGCAAAAAGGTGGTGGAGACTGTGAAGCTGGAATCTTTCTAGCAAAACCGGGAGGAAGATCCTGAGCAGGAAGGTGGGGGGTCATGTTCAACCAGCTGAATTTTGCTACACCTTAGGGGACATCCCCAGCTGCAAGCTAGCCCACAACCAGGAGTGGGAGCAGCTCATGGGCTTTGGACTGGACAAGGAGTGCTTGGCCAGTGGTAACTCCAAAGTAGTCAAAGAGAGAACATTGGCTAGAGCATGTTCAACCTGAATGAGAAGCAGCAGCAGGACTTTTCTACCTTCTCCAAAGCCCTGCTCCCATGTCAGAACAAAGGTTTGCTAGTGGCCACAGTGCAAAAGGTCCCCAATAAGTCCCTGCCCTCAGCTATGTACAACATCAAGGACATGATGGCTATTGAGGACAAGTACAGTGAAGAGTACCCACCTGCTTCACCCAAGACTTCAAGGAGTCTGAATACTCCTTGTAAGACTGAATACATGGACAGATGGGCCAGAAACTCACATCCAAGGTGGCTTTCTGGTAGTAATCCCCCACTTCTCAGGAAAGGCTCAGGTAAGACAGAGCAGGATGAACTTGATGGAGGATGGAGGATGAACTTGAGTGATGTGCCCCTCAGCACAGTGGTGTTGCTCCAGGACAAGCAGAAGGCCCAGAAGATTACACACATCATGCTCAGTAGAAGTGGCAAGAGCGTGAACATGAATACCATCACCAAGTAAAGCTGCTCCACTTCTGATTCCCTCCCCAACTTTAATGTAAAACTTCGCTCCTTATTAAAAGATCAGGTAAAAATAAATATGTTTACAAATTATTGTAGAAATATAAAAGAGGGTTCAAATTCTCAATGAGGAAAAACCAAAATGTGTCCAACTGTATAAAGGCTCTTCCCTTACAAGAAACAGGGATAAAGCTGAAGACCCAGTTTGGTTTTGCTGCTGAAATATACAAAATAACTTAGAAAAACCAGACGAGGTCAAAAGTTGTGAGCTCACTATCAGTGCCTGCCTTCTTTTGAAAGTTGATAACCACAGTGCAAGGCAGAGCTGATGGTAGGATAGCCAGGAGCTTCTCATTCTGAGTCCATCATTCTTCAAGTCAATGCTGAAGAAAAGCCCTTATGAAGTCTTAACTGAGTTGAGACTGACTGGACTTCCTCCACTGTAATGCTCAAAATAGCATATTTCTTGGCCAGCAGAAACACAGAACCTGGAACTGACTTTAGCAAATCCCTGCTGCTTCCCCAAACATTGTAGGGACTAACGATCAACCAGCAGTTTTACTAGAAGCTTGAGGTCTGTGATGTGGCAGCTGTTGGCTACTCCTGGAAAACCCTTGAATTCATAGGAGAGAGAAAGTATCAGGGTTTTCCCATCTGTGGTTCAAAGAACACTTGGTTCCTTTGTAGGAAGCACCTGGATAAACTAAATATTCCCCCTCAACCACTCTCCAGCTTAGTGCTGGTTTTGAGAGGTTAGCTGGTCCCTCTGATAAGACATTTGTAAAGTGAACAGTCCCTAAGTCAAGGACTGAGCAGGATTCCAGAAGCTGAGCAAACAAAAAATTTGAGTAGTCTAGATTGAAAATCTCTAGAAAATTGTTTCCCCTCACTCCCAAATCAGTGGAGGAAAATTAAACAGGTCCAGGGGGTATAAGAAAGCAAGAACCTTAGGGTTAGGAACAAATTCCATCTCCTAGGTTAGTTTCTGGATAGACATAAGCAAATGCAGTAGTGATTATCCACAACCTGGCTTAGCAAATTCTTGAGAGAAGCCAGGTGTTGTGGTACACACCTGCACTCCCAGCTACTTGGGAGACTAAGGCAGGAGTGCAAGTTTGAGGTCAGCTTGGGCAACTAAGCAAAACTGTCTCCAAAAAAAAAGGCTGGCAATGTAGCTCAGGAGCAGAGGACCACCAAAAAAAAAAAAAAATTCCCTAGATAAGCCACTGAGGAGAATGGGGTAGTCTTACAGATGGCCAACTTTGATTTGAAGATTCACTTTGGCAACACTTAAAACCTTTTAATTGGAGATGGTTGTCAAGAACTGTAGCATGTTACGTCACACATAGCTAAACAAACTGCCAAGGATTCTGTCCAATTCCAAGACGGCAGCCAATATGAAGAGAGGGTCCTAATATTCTTTTTATATGTGCAGGAACAGGCTTGTGTTATTGCACAGAGGCTTGTAAGAGCCTAGGCTCTTCCCCAAGTGCCACCTTAAGAATTTTACCTAGGAGGATGATGATGAAGGTGGAAGAGGCGACCATCATTTAATCACCCCCAAAAAATGTATCTTTGAAGAAAGTGAAGTGAGGAGGATAAAATTTCTAGTCTCAGTTCAAGGCTGAATTTGAGAGGAATCCAGGAGTGTACAAGTTAAAATACGCAAGACTTTGCTTCACATATTAGGGTTTGATCTTCCTGGTAGATGTCTAAAACATTTCATCTATCCAGCAGTGATCACAGACAAGTTTAGAATTCATCTAGAAGTCATCTGGTCAGTTTCCAAGTGGAACATATTTATTCCAATGCTCCCGTGTCTTCAGCACCATCACAATCTCTTTTGTTCTTCCTGGCAAACTTTCCTTTTCAATATGCACCTTTAAAAGCAGTTCATTGTCAGCTGGCCAAGGTGGCACACTCCTGTAATCCTAGCACACTGGGAGGCTGAGGCAAGAGGATCACAAGTTCAAGCCCAGCCTTAGTGACTTAGTGAGACCCTGTCTCAAAATTTTAAAAAAATAGGGTGGGGGGGGCAGATATAGCTCATTGTGAAAGCCCTGGGTTCAATCCCCACTACTGCAAAAAATAAAATAGAAAAGCAGTTCAACGCTAAGTTCTACTACTTTGGCTCATCCCTGGGATGTTGGGATGCAGAGTGCAGTATAACACATAAAGCACCATTCCTGGACCCTGTTTCCTGACACCTGGGACTTGTGTCTCAGGCACAAGCTTAACTACATTGATGATCAGTTGGAGAGGAAGGGGACATTACTTGGCTCAGAACTCTCAGTGGAAATTCTACCACCTCTGGTTATGTTTACATGGGCTAGGAGAACCCCTTCCCTTGGGATGACACTGTTCACTCACCAGAAATTGTTATGGAATGGAACTATCATCTGGTTTGGCACATTTCTGAGTTCTCTCTGAACTACAGGGAAGGAGGCAGGATCCTTCCTAGAGGCCACTGCCTCTGTGCAGGGGCAAGGAGACAAGCAGCCTTAAAACATACAAATGCCCTCTGTCTTGAGCCTGAAGAAGCAGTGTCACCTCCCCTGAGCAGAAATGCCCAGCCCAGGCCACATTACAGTCACCATTCTCTTCCTTTCAGATTTGTCCCTTTGGACCATTAAACTAAAACACAGCACTCCCTCCTCCCCCCAACCCAGTCTTTTCTCTTTCACTCCCCCTCCCCTCCCTTACCCATTGCACTTTTCCCACTCTTCTTAGGGGCTGCATCACACCTCAGCAAAAGCCAAGCTATACTGCTCTGGCTTCTTCCCACATCGCCGAGCAATGATAGCCAAATACAGCATGAGGAGGGCGACCCAATAGCAGCCATAGAGGATGGCCCCAGAGACAAGGAAGGCTAGCTCAGTCTCGCTGAACAGGTCCTGGCAATAAGCTGTGTAAGCCAGGCCCCCAAGAAGAACTGCCACCCAGATGGACACAGGGATGAGGCCAATGAAGTTAACCACAATGGTTTTTCGGCCTGACGTGCCCCAGCCAGACTTGTTGATGGTAGCAATGGCAAAGATCTTGGCTGGCAGGAGGCTGGACATATAGAGAAGGGAATAGAGCGACATGAAGATCATCTCTGCATTGCCTCGGAGGAAACAGGCGTAGGTAGCCTTGATAATGCCCACCAGCTGCACCGTCAGCAGGAAGAGCAGAATGTTCCAGATGCGGCCCCGGTAGAAAAGCTGAATGACTGTAGCAATGAGGAAGAATGGGAAGAAACCTGTGACCACTGATTCATAGGTCATCCAGAGATGGTGCTTATGGAACCACAGAGAGTTGTAGAGCCACTCCCGGAAGTAAGACTTGCTCCAGCGAGTCTGCTGGTTGAGCCACCGGAGGTACTTAGTGGGGGTCTCTGTGAGGCACTTGGAGCGCGCTGTATACTTAGTCTGGTAGCCAAGGCTCAGGACTCGGTTGGTAAGGTGCCGGTCATCCCCAAAGCTGCACTTGCTGCCTAGGAACTTCTGATGGTACCAGTCCTCCAGGAATTGCTGGAGGAGGCTATTGCGGTACATGCCCAAGGGCCCACTAATACACTGCACACAGCCGAAGTAGGACTGGCAGGCCCGCTCCACGTTGAAGGCCATCCAGTACCGCACACTGCTCAGGAAGGAGATCCATGAGTCATATTTGTTGAGGATCTGCAAAGGAACAGAGATGCTGGGCCTTCTCATCTGAGACATGAGCCCCAAAGGAGACAGATAGCACAGAGTAGGAAGCCTCCCTATCCTGACTTCTGAGAGCCATTGCTCAAATTCCTGGCCATCAGTACTAGCCCCACCAGAACTGAGTAATCTGAGGCTAAAGGAGCCAACCATACCCACTCACTCTCCCCAGCACCAGCTCCACCTGCCTACTGTGTCATCTGCACTCACTCTCCCAACTAGGCTGCCTTCAAATTTCAGGAGAGCCTGCAGTGGTGGCAGAGAAAAGAAAGTCTGAGGAAGGAAGCAAAATGCCACCCCATTCACCTGTCCTGCTGCTTCTGCAGTTGTAAAGCTTCTAGGAAGATGTGATTTATTGTCTACATTTATGGTATCCTTTGCAAGAAGATCCAGTCCTTTATGTTTACCATATTGCCCAGAGCTCATCAGTCCAAGTCCTCTAGAAGCAAGGGCTTTCAAGGGCCTGACTTGGGAGTGAGTTACTACACAACTGAAAAGGAAATATCCTTTAGGATCTGTGGCCTTAAACCCCTATAGCCCTCCCTGCATAGGCTGTCTATAACTATTCGGTGATTTTTTTTTTCTCTCGTTGAAAAAAGCAGGAAATGAATTGCACTGCAAGTGAGCTGAGCCCTCCGGTATCAGTGAAAACTGTCGGGGCAACCACCCCCAAAGTACTAGCAGGCATATCCTATTGGGTTAGGAAACAGTTCAGACCCCTATCCCCAGGGATCCCTGGTTACTTCTTACTTGAACATCTCCCCCGACTCCCCCTACTTGGGGATCCTCCTCCAGGACTCGAAGCATCTCGATGGTGCAGGCTGGGTCCAGCACAGTGTCAGAGTCGCACACCTGCAGGGGAGTGCACCATGAGCCTGTTTTGACCTCAGGTCTGTGCCGGTACCCTCCCCCCTCCACCAGCTGTTCAGTATCTGAGAGAAGTGACCCCCTTCACATGATTCTCTTCCACTAGAGGAGTCTTGCCCAGAAAGGGAGAAAGGAAAGACAAAGGCAAGTAAGGAAAGGGAGAGCCCACATGCAGGCTTGACAGCCACTGAGCTGAGAAGAAAAACCCAGGAGACTGTACGTACCAGCCCTGGGAAAAGATAAATGCTTAGCACTGGAAAAGGTTTTAATCCTGCAGTGCCAGGTTCCACAGAAATGGCCTCAAAATATTTATCTGGGGTCCCTGGGCAGAAAGAGGGAGCAAGTCACTGAAATCAGGTAACAGGTACAGATAACAGGATCAGCAGACATTCCTCAGAAAGCTGTGAAAAGGCTGTCAGGGGCTACTGCCCCAAATGATCCCATAGGGTAGTTGTTAATAGTGTCCCCATTTCAGTCTTTGGCCTCCTGGACAACCTCTCCAGCCCCTGTGGTGAAAAGGTTCTCCATGAGACCACAAACATGGTGCCCTAGACACTGTGCTTCCGCACAGAGAGCCTTGGCCAAATCTTTAAGACTGGGACATAGTCTGGCTGATAGCTCTGCCTGCCTGGGATCTATCCTGAATGTCCATGGACGCTAGCAATAGCCACCTCCAGTCAGACCCTGGATCAAATCCTGCCCACATGCCCTCCTGCCTGGTCTCAGTGGTCCCATGATTAGTGAAGCTGGGATCTGACAGCATTATCCTTGTGACTGACTCCTTGTCTGTGTTCTAAAATGTAACCGAAATGGTAGAGTCCAGGTAACTGTTGGCAAGGGAATTAAGCTCTATGATCAAGAAGAGAACACTATCCAACAATGAACCCAAACCCCACCCCACAGAAACCTAAAATCCATTTAACTAAAATTGCTGATGCAAGGCCTTGGGTTCAATCCCCAGCACCAAAATAAAAAGTTGCTGAGTAAGATCCCATTAGCCTGCAGGAAGGAGACTGCATCTGACACCCTAAATCTTCCATATTTTCCCCTCTTAAAAGTCAAGGTGGCCACAGACAAGCAACAGAAGGCCAAGGGGGAATCAGGCTCCAGGCAGGGTCCCTCACATGTGCTGCTTCAGCCTCACCATGACACATCCTTAAATGCTAGTCCAAGCCAGAGAAGGTCCCAAGGGGCCTCCGTCCAGACTCAGCTTCCTCAGCTTACAGGCTGAGCATCCCAGTGCTGCTGGTCTCACTACTACTTCCTGCCTGGACCCTAACCCATCCTCCATGCTGCTCTGCCTCATTCATTCCAAGGAGGTCTTTCTAGAAGAGCAGAGTGAGGAAAAAAGAACACTGTGCTGCCTGGAGCAAAGTTCTCTTCCACAGAGGCAAAGATACACGCCCTCAGCAGGGCTGTGGGAAATGGGCTGAAATCTAACAAGTATTATTCATTATAGCCCAGCGCCGCCTTGGGCAGTGGTCCCAGGGCCATAAGGACAAAAGCATGGCTAGGGGTACGCGTGTGGTGGTGGGGTGTTTGCAGACCCACTGGAATACACAGGAGATGACTGAAGAAAGGAGTTATGAGGCAAAGCGGGTTTGGAGGTCCTAAGCTTAAAGGGAGTGGATGACATAGTCATGGTGGCTTGAGCACACAAGTCAGGGCTCGGGCTTTTTCCTGAGCTTGTGGGGACCCCAGGAAGGTTTTCCAAAGTCCCTACAACCCCAGGTGAACTGCAGAATCAAACAGCTTTCTAGACTCACATCCCTCCCTACATGGCAGAGGAGGTCCTTGGGCCTAGGAAGACAGAAAAAGAAAAAGGTATCAACTGTCACACAAGGACACACCAAAAAAGCCAAAGTACACAAGCTAATTTTGGGTAGATATACTATAGAAAATTTAAATAGAGAACTCAATATCCTGTCAACAAGACTGAAATGACACACAGGTGGGCTACCAAAATAGCCAGCCTTTTTATAAGCGTTTATGAAGCTATGGACAAACTCCTGACAGGTGCCGAGAAGGGCAGAGATAGAACAGGTACAATTTGGGTGCTGTGAAGAATTCTGGTCCAGAATAGGGCTGGGATTTAGCTCAGTGGTGCCACCACCTGCCTTGCAAGAGTAAGGTCCAGAGTTCGATCCCTGGCACAAAAATTAGAATTCTGGAACAGAATCTGGGATCCTGGGTTTCCCATTTCTGTGTAGTACTGCATGTGTGAGTTTTAATCTTCTGTTCTCTCTAGGTTTTATTATTTGAAAACTGAAGCTCTGTCAACCTAATACAATTTCCAGGCTAATATCAATGACCACTTAGACCAGATGAGCAGGGCTGACTCAGGATTCCAGCCAGTGCTGCTGGGAAATGAGGCAAGAGGATTATTCTTGCCTATGTCTGTCTACCTCACACCTCACAGACAAGAACTTGACACTAGAAGAGTGGGACTCTTCTTTTTTTTGGGGGGGGAGGGAGACAGGTCTTGCTATATAGGCTGACCTTGAACTCACTATGTAGCCCAGGCTGGCCTCGAACTCATGTCAGTCCTCCTGCCTCAGCCTCCCAAGAGCTGGGATTACAGGGGTGCGCCACCACATCCAGCTTCTTCACATTTCTTTATGAACAGGTACATCCTTATGTGGCAATGGCAGGCAGCACCGCACAAGAGCGAAGAGCAGACCTGAGATGGGCTGCCTGGCTCACAAAAGCTTCTGCACCTTCCTAGCAGTGTAACATTAGGCAATTTAATGTCCGCGCTTCAGTTTTACCTTCTATGAGGAGAGTTAATAATAGTACTTATCCCCTGAAGTATTAGGTGGATTAAAGGAGTAATTAATATATTACAAATGCCCACGACAGTGCCTAGTGTGAAGTAAATGTTATGTACTCGTTTGCTGCTCAACCAGTTCAGAGGTCTTCCCAAAGTCACAGAACTACATGCCAGCATAACCACATTTCCACCCCAGGCCTGCTTTAGAGCCACCATTGCCTTTTCTTCAGTACCAAAGGGGGATGTGCACAACACACCACCTACACCTGACCTAAAGTCCCCGAAGAAAAGTCGGCCCAGCTAGCCAGGCAGTGCCCATGTACAGACACTTCTGGGGAGGTGACCTTACCTGGATGTAGTCCACCGAGTCGCCAAGGGCCTTGAAAGCTGTGTACATGACCTCGCGCTTGCCTCCCCACTTCTGCATGACACACGAGAAGGTACTGGTCCGCACCACCGCCCGCACACGCTCCATGCCCTCCTGCAGGCTGGTCTCCGTCTCACCCTCACCCGCCTCGTGGAAGTTGCTGCGCCACACAAAGAAGCCGGCTTGATCAGTGCCACCCAGCACCTCATGGAAGATGTCCAGCATGTAGGCGTCCTCCTGGCGATTGCCATCCACCACCATGACCACCTTGAGGTCAGGAAAGGCAATGCGCTGGGCTGAACGCAGGCACTTGCGCAAGTAGTCAGGGTCTTCCTGGTAGGCAGCGATGCAGAGCGCCACAGCTCGCCGCCTGGAGCGAGGCAGCTTCAGCGGCCGCCCTGCTCTGCGCATGCGCCGATGCTCCAGGAAGGCGAACAGGCTCTGGATGAGCAGGTGCAGGCCAAGGATGGCGCCATACAGGCCGAAGGACAGGTAGTGCTTTTCTGTATGGATGAACTGGTAGCCTGTCACGTAGGCTGCCAGGATGCCGCCCAACACTGCCAGGGCAAACAGGCTGGTGCCTACTACACGCAGGGCTGTCGCCAGCTGCACCGGCATCTGGTGAGAGAAAGTGGGAGATGGGGGGTGTCAGGCAGGAGGCAGCATTCTCCGGCAATAGGAGAGTGAGCATTCTCAGAGTCCCGCCCAGAACAGCGGAAGGGACCCACTAATTAAAACGATGACCATTTTTTGTTGTTGTTGTTACCAGGAATCGAATTCAGGGCGTCGTGCTTGCCCGGCAGGCGCTGTGCGGCTGAGCCACATTCCTGGCCCATTGACCACTTATTAAGCAGAACTAAAACCTTCTGAAGACTCAGAAACCAGAGTACTAGGGTACAAATCCCCAGTTCTGCCGCTATGTTGTCACTCAGTTATTTCACCTGCAATATATAAGCTGCAGTACTGGCTTCTTAGCATCTTCCAGAGATTGCTGGGTGACATGCAAAGTAGCAATTATTCTTGGTTTTGTTTGTTTGTTTGTTCCTGGGGATTGAACTGAGGATCTTGTACTTGCGAGGCAGACGGTGGAATCGCTAAGCTAAATCCCCGGCCCGGCAATTATTCTTGTTAGAGAAAACAAAGACCAGAATTAGGTGACACCCCTGGTAGATGGCACACAGGGATCTGCGTGAGCAAAGCTCTTTATTGGTAAGCTTCAGTGGGGTGAGCGTGTGGCAGGGGCCTCTGAGTACATACAGGGATGATGGGTCTTCTAGGAGAGGAGGGGTAGGGCAATAACCAGGGGCCTAAGAGCACAGACCCTGGTGAGGAAGTGAATGGATTCTAGGAGGGGACTATTCATTGGTAAAGCAAAGCACACAGCTCCTGAAGAAAGCAGAGAAGGAAAAGACCAGAAATCACAGGAAACATAAAAAGAGGTACCAGGGAAACAAAGATACACATGGTTTCCCTTGCTCAAAGCAAAATCAGTAAGAGAAACTTCCCTGTGTTCTGCTTTCTCACCTTTTTCTCATTTACTCAAAGGCAGGAAAGAAAGGGAAAGCCGGAGGGAAAGCAGACAAGGGAAGGAGGAGGAAATGAGAGCTGGGGCGTGGACAGCCCTTCTAGAAGCCCAGCACTGAGAAGCGCCAGAGGGAACTGCAGCCACCACTGCAGCAGCCTCTCGCAGAGGTGGCTGCCTGGGGAGCCCCATCCGCTTGGTCCTAGTGCCGCTGGAATCTCTGTGCTCATCCCCAGGCCCCAGTCACTCCTGGAAACATTGCCAAGTTTCCGTCTGCAGCTAAGTTGGGGCTCCCACAGTCTGCCCTGTTGGAAACAGCTGTGGTTTAATGAGAAAAGCCCAGGCTTGGCACCAGAGACTTGGCCTGAGACAAGCTCTACTCTCTCCTGGCTGCCTGACCTTGCCCAAGTTCTCTAAAACCTGGTTTCTGGTCACTACAATGGGGGTTCCAATGGCTTCTTCCTTCACAGGTCTGAGGTAAATCATTTCTCCAAAAACAGAGAGTCAGCCCTTGAGGTGATTTCCTCTAGAGCCTAGACAGTGAGAGAGATATGAAGAGAATGGATGAAGAGGTGACAAAGACTGCTTCCTGCCCTCCATTCTGACCTAAGCCTTCCCAGGCTCTCTTCTTTTCACCTGCCCCATCTGGAGAATCCAGTTTCCACCCCGTGACTCCAGATGCTGTCTCTCCTTCCAAGCTTGCAGCAACTCTTTAAGTCTCACTGGAACCCAGTCTGTGACCCCTACACATACACACACACACAGATTCCTGCCAGGGGCCACCTCTCACACAGAAGGGATAAGAAACACGCAGCCACTGCCTAAATCAGCCAGAATGAGGCACCAGTCAGGGACCAGCAGCATTCAGGCAGCTGGGATCGGAAAGGGCTGTTGGCAGCCTGGCCTCTCCGGGAAGCACGGCCTCCGGGCTCTCTGCCCCACCAGCTCAGGGATCCGGCACGGCAAGCTTCCTCTGCAGCACTCCCAGCCTTCTCTACCCACCTCCCTGCACACGCCTGGGGCTCAGGGGCTCCCGGGCCTGCATCCATTGCCTAGGAGCGTCTCCCGTCCTCCTCGGAGCTCACATGCACAAGGGGCGCGGTGTGCTCCACACCCTGCCTGCCCTTGTCTGCGGAAGAGGCAGGAGGTGCGTGGGGCTAGCCTACCGGCCACCAACCTGCTGGGCCCCGGCTCCCAGACTGGGTGCAGGGCCGGAGGCTGGTCATCGCGGCCACGAAGGCATGAAGGCACTCCGCACTCGCCACCTTCCTGCCTGGCGTGAGCCTCACCTCCTGGCAAAGGTGGCGCACGCCACACCCACGTGCCTGTTTCCCAAGACCCAGCCGAGAAGGCTAGGAAAATCCCTGAAATCTCAATCGGACCAGGCTATACTCAGCTTCCAGGGCCCCAGTCACCTTGGCAAAAGTGTGCCTGCAGACAAAGGCGGCATCCGTAGTGTCGCCAGTCCCCTCCTTCCCGAGGTGGGATCCCTCTCTCCCGCCGGAATTAAAGACGCTGCCTCGATAACCCTCCTCTCCACAGAGGAACGATGAAGGTCCCGCAGCCCGAACCCGATGTGTAATCGAGCGCTGGTTGAGCTTTGGTGGAGGTCCCCAGCCCGGACACCCAAAGCCTGACGAAGAGGGATGCGGAGCCAGGAGATCCTACACCCTGTGTCCCCCCATCCTCACAGCCCGGGACTGCTCCCCGATTCTCACTGGGCACTGGGGGGTTCCCCAAGGCCGGCCCCGCGGAAGACAGACGTAGGAAAATCTCCAGCCAAGGGCGCACGCTTCCCCAATTCAACCCCGAAACTTTGAGGGGCTGCCTGGTCTGCAGCGTCTCCCGCTGACAGGTGCGGCGCCCTGCTTCTGGGCCCACACGCGGCGGGATGGAAACTTGTGCGTGCGGAGAGGGCGCCTTCCACAGCGCCCAGGTGCCCTCCGATCTGGTCTTTAAGCTCGCAAAGGAGAAGGAGCCAAGTTGGGCGGACACGTGCAGCAAGGGCCCGGCTAACCCACAGGAACAGGGGCGCCGGGGCGTCTCAGTCCCCGCAGGTGGGAAGACCCTGCGGGAGTGATGGGGGAGGGGTGCTCGGGCTAGCCTGAGGCCCGCACCCTCATCAGCCTCCGAATTCATTCACAAAACCGGAGCCGCCAGGGAGGAAGGGAGGAGGATGGAGGAAGAAAGGGAGGAGGGGTCAGCGGGGAGGGGGCCGCTACTGACGAGCGACGAGCGCCAGAGCCGCGGAGCCGCCTTAAGTACCGAGCGCGACCCGCCGGGAGAGGCGCCCTCCTCCAGCCCCGGGGCCGGTAAAGTTGGCAATCCTGGGAGGGATCCGCCGGCGAGCACCTGGTTCCCGGCTCGGTCCCAAGGAGCCCACCGGCCCGCTCGTCGCCGTGTAGATGCAGCTTCTTGGGGGTTCGCAGGGACGAGCGCCAGAGCCGCGGAGCCGCCTTAAGTACCGAGCGCGACCCGCCGGGAGAGGCGCCCTCCTCCAGCCCCGGGGCCGGTAAAGTTGGCAATCCTGGGAGGGATCCGCCGGCGAGCACCTGGTTCCCGGCTCGGTCCCAAGGAGCCCACCGGCCCGCTCGTCGCCGTGTAGATGCAGCTTCTTGGGGGTTCGCAGGAGCAGCTTCTGCGCCCTCCCGGGAACGGGGTTCCCCCAAAGTGGCCCAAAGCCGAGCTGCTCCACGCTGTCCGGCGGAGCCTAGGCCAGCTGCCCAGGGCCGAACGTTATTGTGCCCAATCTGGAGCTCGCAGCGTGGTTAACTTCCAAGGTGATCCTCGAGGACCTCCAAAATCGCGACTCCGTCCCCGCCCCCGCGCCGTGCCTTCCAAGTCTGGGACCCACTCACCCTACAAAGCGGGAGAGCCGGACAAACCTTCTCGGGACTACTGCACAGCAAGGGGCTGTTCGCTGGACAGGGGACGCTCTAAAACCAAGGCAGCAGAACCTTCCTGGTGGTGAGGAGAAAAGAATAATTGTCAAATACAAAAAGGCTGGTTAAAGAAGGTGCTTACAATCGTAACAAGCTTAGGTTTGAATTCCGCAGTGGGGCGCTGATGACATTAGGCTGTTTGCAAAAGCTGCAAATGGTTTTTGCAGCCACCTCGTAGGTTCCGGTGTCTTGATGCCAAAACCTCCCCCACATACTTTACACCTTTATTTCCCTGACTTCCTAAATCCCCACTGACCTCATCCCAGTAGTTTCCAAGTTCCTTAAAAAGCTGGTGCTAGACTTGGGTGAGGTAAGGTGGAGGAGGTGGGGAGAGGAGGTTGTTAGAGAGGAAGGTTAGAACCTGCTGCAAACACTTAAGCTTTTACCTCTTAGAACAATTTTAAATGATAATTAAAAGTAAAAAATGCCAGGAGTGGTGGCACATGCCTGAAACCCCAGCATTCAGGAGGCTGAGGCAGGAGAAGTGTCACCAATTTGAGGCCACCCTGGGCTACACAGTGACTTCAAAGCAAGCCTGAATTACGTAGTGAAATCACAAAAAGCAACCAACCAAAAAAAAAAACAAAAAAAAAAAAAAAACGAGTGAAAAATGATCTACATCTTCTCCAAACACATCTGGGATAACTTCCATCACTCAGGCTGCAACAAATTTATAGGGTGGGCAGCAGTCTATCACCTGCTCCTCTCATAAGTCTTAGGGATGCAAGGACTTGTCTGACCCTCTCAAACCCAGGCCAAAGAACGGAGGCCCCCCCACCAGGTACTCAAAGACCCCTGACACACTTGCTTCTCCTGCTCCCATCCTGCAGTACAAACAGTTTCACACTGCTTGAGAAATCATCTTATGGCATTCAAGATAAAAGTGTATGATTTTGAAAAACTTACTGAACCCACAATAGGAATGTGTTTGACCTTCGGATGGCCTGCGGGGCCCTGTTAGAGGCTATCAACACCAGACGGAGAGAGGAGGGCTCAGGAGTCAGCCAAGTCAATTTTGCCACTAGTCTTGTGACAGTAACTACCCCAGTGTCGGGTTGTTATCCAGATTATTAGGAGGCTTAAAGTGATTGGCTGAAAGTGCTCAGTGAACTCTATTACCCTCACCCAGAGGGTGGCATCACATGCCCATGCCATAAAGTCTCCATGCCCATCCCTTTAGAGCACTCAGTGGCAAGAAGTTGAGAGGTCATTGTTGAACAAATGAAAAAATGCTTTGTCCTTACTGAATTATGGGCCTGCGGAGCTCTGGGCCACTTGTTCCTCAGCCAGAGGCAGCACAGACTAGAGCTGCAAAGACTTAAGGATTGCTCCTACCTGATCCTCCACCCCAAAGTGGTAACATTTCACATCAGGGAACTAAGCAGAGCTTAGCAGACAAAAAATGGGTGCATGGAACTGTGGGGGGCACCCCAAAGAGGCTCATCTACCTACGGGGAGAGGGCCAAGCTTGGCCAAGTGGTTCTATTGTCAAAAGCCAGAAATCCAGACTTTCATAGAAAATCTCCTGATTTTTAAGAGTTGGCAACTAATTCAAATGTTCTGAAAGCATTCTGGGGCCCAGGGGTATAGCTCAGCAGCACAGTAGCTGCCTGGTAAGTGCAAAAGTCCCTGAATTGAATTCTTGGTACAAAAAAAAAAAACACTGTAGGTCAGGCAAAATATGTAAATATGTCTGACTCATATCCAGCCAGATGAGAGGGAGAGGGAGATACAACAGGGAGAAGAGCACAAGGAATGGAGCAGCCAGTTTGGGAAGATTCTCTCTGCCCTGGACAGGACAGCACAGCAACATGAGTTCTTTGGGTGCAGGTTCTTCACCCCAGGGCTTGTTCATGAATGTCTCCTGCTTGTTTTCTAAGACTCCAACTATGACCTAAAAACTTCTTGCCTGTCTCTCTCTGCTGGCTCCAGAGTGGGGCTGGTTCAGCACAATCTCACCAGTTAATTAAAACCTCCAAAATGAATACATATCACAAGAACAGTCAACCTTCTGCCCATACCAATTGGCTTTGCCCCTAAATGGCTTCCCCTGGGGAGCAAACTCTTACTGATCTGCAGGGCCAGGGACTGACCTGGTATTATCAGGCATATAAGGGAGTCTTTACTTTTGTGGGGTCTGTGCCAGGGAGGGTTTGTCCGTAATTAACATCCAGTTAATGCCCTATATGCATTCAGCCCTTTCTGAGGAGATGGGTAGGGAAGTCTTTAAGTGGTGGACACAATAAAGCTGAGCTTATCTCTGCTACCACTGGGGATTTAGAAATAGGGCTAATTTCATATGCAATCACTAACAAACATGAATTCAGCTATTGCTGAATTGGCTTTCATGGTGTTAAGGTTCTTTTTTTTTTTTTTTTGACAGGGTCTTACTATGTAGCCCAGGCTGGCCTTGAATTTATGCTCCTCCTGCCTTAACCTCCTGAGTACTAGAATTAGAAATACAGGTGTGGGCTGGGGATTTAGCTCAGTGGTTCGTTGGCCTGCCTTGCAAGCTGAAAAAAAAAAAAAAAAAAAAAAAAAAAAAAGAATTACAGGTGTGTACCACCATGCCCAGCTATGGTTTGAATCTTAAATGTCCCCCAGGAGGGTCGTGTGTTAAAGGTTTGGTTTCCATTGCAGCAATATTCAGAGGTGGGGTTTTTAGAAGGGCTCTAAACTCATCAGTGGATTAATCCATTGACAGATTCATAATTATTAGGAAGGAATGGAAATTTAGGAGGTGGGACTGAGTCGAAGGAAATGGGTCGTGGGCTGCACCCTCAGTGACTATATCTTGTCCCTGGCCTTCCTCTTTTGCCTTCTGCTTCCTGGCGGCCATGAAGTGAGTCTACCATGTACTTTCACTATGATATTTCTGCCTCATCACAGGCCTAAGAGCAATGGAGTCAGCTGACCGCGGAGTAAAAGCTCTGAAACCATGAGCCAAAGTGAGTCTTTCTTTCCTTGGTTATTCTCAGGTATCCTGTCACAAAGTCAGAAAGCTAACACACATAGGCTCAGCCTCCCTATCTGTCTCAGTAGTAAAAAGATTCAGACTGTAATTTTGTGTTCACTTAAATGCTGAACATCTACTTGGAGCAAATAATTTGGCACCCAGAAGTCTCAGGATGGCCCGTCATCTAGAAGGTTATCTCTTTTGAAGACAAACAGTTGAAAAATTAAGTCACCATACAAGACCATTGTGTTAGTTACTTTTCTCTCTTTGCTGAGACAAACTACCAGATACCTAAAGCTAAAGGGGAAAAGGTTAATTTAGTGTAAAGTTCATAGAGGTTTCAGTCCAAAAATCAGCTGGCTCCAAGGCAGGGTAGCTCATGTCTGAGGGGCATCACAGAGGAGAAACAGTTCATGGCACCCACACAGTAGCAAAAACAACAAAAGGACCTTAACAGTGACTGTCTGCCCCTTTTATCTCATTCAGACTACTTAGGGCTAGCTGGGGATTTAGCTCAGTGGTTCTGCCACCTGCCTCGCAAGCACAAGGTCCAAAATTGGATCCCTGGTACCAAGAAAACACAAAACAAAACAAAACAAAAAACAGACTACTTAGGGCAGGTAGCATCACGCCCTTAACCCTAGTGCCTTGGGCCTAGCCCCACCATGAATCAGTCTTGTACTCTAGAGTGAGCCACCTAGAAAAAGCATGAGGCTTTGGGGGGACATCTAAACAGAAGCCGTAACATTCCTCCCCTGGCCCCCAAAGACTCATGCGCATCCCTTTATACAAAAAAGCATTTAGTCCATCTCCAAGGGTTGCCAAAGTCCTAACAGTTTCAGCACTGCTGAAAGTCCAAGTCCAAAGCCTTCTCTGAGATTTAAGGTAAACTCTTAGCTGCAAGCCCCTGTACAAATGAAAAGAAAGCTAAACACTTCCAACATACAATGGCTCAAGATAGATATTTCAATTCCAAAAGTTATAGATAGGAGAATACAAAGGAATAGAAAGCAATTTCAAAATCCAGCAGGGAAAACATTAAATCCCACAGTTCCAGCATCGCAGGCAATCTGTGGCAAGTTGAGAAGAACTCCAAAGGGCTTGGAAGATTCCGCCCCTACAGCACTGCTGGTTGTAGCTCCCAGGGCTTCTCTCTTGGACTTGTTTTGCTCCCTCCTTGAATCTTTCCTCAGATGATATGTGCTCCTGGCTCCTGCAAACTTCTGAGGTCTCCACTGCACCTTTAGCTTCACACTACCAGCTGCACACACTGACCTCTCAGGGCCACACTGCTTGACCTCCCAGGCCTGCTTCTGAAATCTGGGTGGAACCCTTCCTGACCCCACAACTCTTCTGTTCTGCAAGGGCCCAAAACAAGCCCCATGTGGATGATACCAAGGTTGGCTGCCCGCTGGAGCAGTACCCAGGCTTCCTTCTCTCTTGGCTGTAGAGAGCAAGTGTCTGGATCGCTGAGTACTCTGAACCCAGTCCCAAGGAACAAATTCTCTAGACTGCCGCCATCCTGGAACCTGGTATTTTGGAGTTCTCTTCTCAGGCAAATTATTTTACCTTTATAACTCTGAAGCTGCAAAGGTTGGAGTCCTGTGGCTTCCTATGATGCCCTCAGGACATCTTTTCTAATCTGTTCCTTCTCAGCAGTCAAGATCTCTGAGTTATCTTTCCCATTCTTTTTTTTCTTTCTTTCTTTCTTTCTTTTCTTTCTTTTTTTTTTTTTATTGGTGCTGGGGATCAAATTTAGGACTTTGCACTCACCCCTGTGCTGCTGAGCTACTGAGCTACATCCCAGCCCTCCTCTGCTCTGTCTTTACAGTCCACAGTTTTACTGGAGCTTCCCTTCTGGCCAAACTCAAACATTTTAAATCATTCTGCTGGTCTTTCTCCTCTTGATTCTCAACATAGATCTGGCTAAAAATTCCTAATAGCACCCATGCTACAGCCTCAACATTACACTGCCTTGAAATTTCTTCTGTGAGATTAACCCATCACCCTTAATCTCAGTTCTCAAGCAAAGTGTCTGAACACAAGTAATGCAGACAAACTTTTTGCCAAGCCATAGTACACATTGGCTGGAGTCCAACAGCCAGTGCAGTCCTTCCCAGTAGAAATCTGAGCCAGGTCTTTAATGTCTTTCTGGTCTTCTGAACTCTGACCAGACTCTCCCATACCTGTATAGCCTAAGGCTTTCCAGAAGCTCTACTTTTTCAGCCAACATCTCTGAAACTTTCCTAACACTTCCCCTTCCAACAAGCCAGTTCCAAAGGCTCTTGAGCCACATGGCAACGACCCCACTTCTCTGGTACCAAATATCTGTTAGTTACTTTTCTCTCTTTGCTAAAATAAAATACCTGATACCTGAGGTTAAAGGAGAAGCGGGGCGTGGTGGCGCATGCCTGTAATCCCAGCACTCAGGAGGCTGAGGCAGGAAGATCGCTGTGAGTTTGAGACCAGCCTGGGCTACATAGTGAGTTCCAGGTCAGTCTCAACTACATAGTGAGACCCTGTCTCAAAAAAAGAAAGAAAGAAAAAAAAAAAGTTAAAGTAGAAAGTTTACTTAGCTTGCAGTTCATAGAGGTTTCAGTCCAAAATCAGCTGGCTGGGTGGCAAACGTCTGAGGGGCATCACAGAGGAGAAACAGTTTATGGCACCCACACAGTAGCAAAAGCAACCATAGGACCTAAACATTGTCTTTCTACCCTTTTATCTTATTAAGACAGGTTGGTTAGCACTCACGCTTCTAAACCCAGTGCCTTGGGCCTAGCCCCACCATGAATCAGTCACATACTCTGGGATTAGCCACCTTGAAAAAGCATGAGGTTTTGGGGGGACATCTAAACACAAGCCATAACAGCCATTTATAATTAAATGTAGGGCCAAGGATTTAGCTCAGTGGCACCACACCTGTCTTGTAAATACAAGGTCCTGAGATTGATCCCCACTACTGGGAAGAATAAATAAATAAATAACATTAAATGTTGATGCTGGGTGTGGTGTATGCTTGTAATTCCAGAACTAGGAAGGCTGAGGCAGGAGGATTGCCAAGAGTTCAAAGCCAACCTGGACTATATAGTGAGTTCAAGGCCAGTCTGAGCTACATAGCAAGACCCTGTCTCAAAAAAAAAAAAAAAAAAAAAAAAAAAATTGTTGATGAGAGAGGATCTAACTAAAAGAGGTCAGAGATTTTAGGAACGAGATCTCTGGAATATTTTTATTTTAATTGTACTAGGGGTTGAACTCTGTAGCCTCACACAGGATAGGCAAGTGCTCTACTAATTAGCTACGTCTCCAGCCCTTTTTAATATTTATTTTGAGACTTGCCCAGGATGGCATCATACTTGTAATCCTCCTGCTTTAGCCTCCTAGTGTGCTGGGACTATAGGCATACATCACTATGCCTGGCTAGGAAAGAGAGCTTTGTGGGCTGGAATGGGCTAGGCAGAGTTCCATGAAGATCTGGAGAAGCTGTAGGGATGTTCTAAGTAGGAAGACTAGACATTAGCATAGGAAAAGATTTTATGAACAAAAACTCAGTTGCACGTGAACTACCAAAATCAACAAGTCTTATTAAAAAGCTTCTGCACATCAAGAGAAACCAACAGTATGAAGAGACAACCACAATGGGGGAAAAATTTTCACCAGCCCTCACCAGTTCCTCAGACAAAGGTCTATTATCTAGAATATATAAAGAAAAAAAATTTAAATTAAAAAAATACATAGAATATATAATTTTAAAAAATCAGACTTCTCAAATTAAAGACCTGTGACCTGAAGTAAAAATGGACTTATGTCTTCATGCCATAGCTGGCCTGTAGGCAGGAAAAACAGGCCTAATCATGATTTAATCGTGAAAGGATTTCCCCCCAAAATTATGTAGAATTGCTCCTGACCCTTGGATTCAAGCAATTCCCCTGCCTCAGCCTCCTTAGTAGCTGGGATTACATGTGTGCACAATGGTTATACTGCAGATAGACAGATAGATAGATAACAATAAATAAGATTACAAACAAAATGGCTTCCACCGTCACAGCTAAAACCTCAATGGTCCCGTGATGCTATGACACTCCAGGGCAGGATTGCATCAGCTGAATAATATCCTGGTTCCTTGAGAACTGCGTAGTAAGAAAAAGGTTTCACCTGGGGAGGGAAAAATTTCTTATCAGCTGAATTCCTCCCACCTACTATTGTAAGAATGCTTTCCTTACAGCCCTCCTCAACATAAGAACCTCATCAGATGACTTAAGATCTTAATCAGCCTAAGATCCTCATCTACACAGGATTACCCAAGTCACCTGATACTCTGTCCAATTATTGTGTGTACCAATAAATAATGATGGTGAGCTTGGAGAGTCTTGGTCTTTGCCCACTCTGAGGCACTGACCTCCTGCCCCCCCCCCATATAGTTTGATTTTCTTTTTTTGTTTGTTTTTTTGAGACAGGGTCTCACTATGTAGTTAAGACTGACCTGGAACTCACTATGTAGCTCAGGCTGGTCTCGAACTCACAGCGATTCTCCTGCCTCAGCCTCCCGAGTGCTGGGATTACAGGTGTGTGCCACCATTTCCGGCATATACTTTGAAATTATGTAAGTCTCTGTTGTCTTTTTATCTTTAGCCCTTGATGCTCCCCTTTCTTGGAAGTTGGAGGGTTGATTGCCCTCCAATATCCAGGAATTCAGAGCCAACCTGGGTACCATAGTAAGACCTTGACTTCAAACAACAAAATCCACATACATAAAATGGCTTCCAAATAGTAGACATTATGTTCCTGGTGATGACTAAGTAAGGCTTTCTCTTCAAGGAGCTTGACTAGTTAATACAAAATTCAAGGTAGAAAGTGTGTGCCTTGACTCCAACAAGGCAGCTCTGCCAAACACAGCCATCCTCATAACTTTCCCTCTCACTGACGAGTACTAGCAATTATTATCAAGTCCAAGAGTTCTGTTTGAAGAAGCAGACTTGAGGGCCTTTCTGTGCTCCAGTTACTATGGTTCAGTTCTCACTCTGGCCCTTCCCTTTCGTGGAAGAACCCTTTTCATTTCAAATGAAAGGGCCTCTGCTCCGCTGGAGGCAGAATGGTCAGCCCTGCTAAGGAACCAGGTTTCTTGATGCTGCCTTGGTTGGGACTAGAACCAGACAGATAACCAAATATAAAACCAGACCTGGGAGTGCTTTTCTTGGAAGCCTTAAAAGAAAAAGGTCTTCTCCACCATCTTTCCTTTCTCTCTTTCCCTAGGTGAATGTTTCCCTAGGAAACATCTGGAAGGCAATTGTCAGCCATATTCTTCCTTCTTGGAGTAATACTGTGTAGCTACTAAAACTTATGTTCATAGAGAGAATGTATGAATATTCCAAAAACACTATGATGCTTTGTTAAGTAAATATACAAGTCACAAAACTATTATGTACAAAGACTAAATTTCTGTTGTTTTCTTTAAAATCCTATGAGTTAAAAGGCAAGAGAGAAGTTCTCCTAAATAAGATTTGATATATAAATATATATATTTTTGGTATCAGGGATCGAACTTGGGTCCTTGTGAGGCAGGCGGCTGAACCACTGAGCTAAATCCCCCGCCCAATAAGATTTGATATTAAGATTAGATTTCCAAGTCAATCCTCGTACAAAAAAAAAAAAAAGAAAAGGTTTAGTAATATTAGGCTTGATATTATTTTAAGATCCAATGGCCGGACATGGGGTGCATGCCCGTAATCCTAGCATTCAGGAGGCTGAGGCAGGAGGATTGCTGTGATTTTGAGACTAGCCTGGGCTACATACTGAGTTCCAGGTCAGTCTCAACTACATAGTGAGATACTATCTCAAAATACCAAAAAAAGAAAAAAAAATCCAACGATAGAACAATAGATTTTTCTCTCTGTATCTTTTTCTCTGAATTCTCTGAATTTTCTATTAATAAACATAATTTTGTAATAGACAGGTATTTTTTAATGGTCTGAACTCTGGTTTCACAAAATTTCCTCCCAGTTTGAGGACGAGTACGATTCAGCCAGCATAAAACATGGATTTATGTGAAAAAGTTTTGGCCATCTCAATTCACAACTAAAGCAGTAAATAAAATAGGGAGGACCAGAATATAACATTGGTGGCAGCCAAAACTTGAGTGGCTGACTTTACTGACAACCTTTTGGTTCCTTTGAGAGAACTTAGCAGAGGAGGGGAGCACCCAGAGCGAGGCCAGCTCCTCCAGCACCTTTGAGGGAATTTAAAAAGGCCCTCAGTTTGGCTGGCACATGGCTGCCTGCAGCCCCACTGTCCTCTCATCCAGGATCCTGATACTGAGTAAGGGGAGGAGGGTATGGTAAATGGGGGATCAAGGAGGCCCCTAACAGGATGCTCTGCCCTGAGAAAGTGTTTCCAATAAGGGCGGTGGCAGCAGCAGTGGCCCCCGCCCAAGGAAGACCTGAGGAGAGCTTCTCTGCATTGGGCACTGTAAGCCTTCCCCATGGAAATATCCACATCCACATCCACACCCACTGCATGTAACTCACGGTGACGCCAAGGAGACGCACACGCAACACGCACACACCCAAATCTTGGCAGAACACAATCCCAGTCTACACACCAGATCAGCAGGAGGGGAACAAACTGCTTAAACACTGCTATTCTGAATTCATTTGCCTCCTTTTGTAGCATTATCAACAATTCTTAAATGTGCTGGCACTTCTGCTTTCTGTCTTTTTTCTTGATTAAAAACATCACTTGTCACTGTCACAAAAGGGGCCCAGAGCTGGAGCCTCCATAAAAGCATTCATTCGTTTGTTTTTGAGGTGAGGGATCAAACCCAGAGGCTTGCACATGCAGGATAAGTATTCTACCACTAAACTATAGCCCCTGCCCCATAAAAGCATTCAGATCAGTGGTTCTGCAGCCTTCCTTGCAAGTGCAAGGTCCTGAGTTTGATCCCTGGTACCACAAAAAATAAAAAAAATAAAAAAAGCTTTTAGAGAAGAGCTGAAGACCTGGATATCATCATCAATGCCTATGTTGGGAGGGACCGTCCAAAGTGTGTCCTAGTCATACATTTGGGGGGGGCTAGGACATCCCCCTCCAAACTTACAAGCCAATGCAGTGATTCTCACACTTGGCCAGTACTCATTAGACTTTTAAAACCCAGCAAGCTCTTTAAAAAACTCTACTGTCTGGAACCCATCCCAGATCAATTTACTGGGAATCACTGGGGGTGGGCCCCAGGCTTGAAAATTTTAGTTCCTAGGCGATGATATTATGCATCCAAGTTGAGAACATATCCCTGGGGTTCTCCTTGGCCATGGGAGGCCAGCAAGGCACCAGCCATTCAGGAGTGAGCCCTACAGTACGGAAGAGCGGCTCCATTTTCCTCTGGCGCTTCCTGCTGCAGTATATGTAGCCTGTTTGAAATTAACCAACCTTAAAAATTTTAAAAAACAAAATGAGCGAATGAACTAGCAAGCCAGAAGCAAGAAAGTAAAAAGAGAAAGGATAGGGATTTTAGCTAAAAATTAGAGAGAACAGAAGGACAGAAGGATAGGTGGGCAAAGTCAGTCCCCAGGTCTTTCCAACATGAGAGGATGGGGATTTCAACAATCTTTTCACTGGCCAAGGTGATACCTGTATTTTTTTCCTAGAGAATTGAGAAAAAAACTAAAATTAAAACCAACTAGGCCTTGCCAGTGGGAGAAGAGAGCCACACAAACACCTTGGATTAGCTCTGAAATCACAGACCTTCTACATTTTGAGAGCCTTTCTGTCCCAAAGGATGGGGAAGATGTCTCCTGAGCCTCAAGAGGGGCCGGGCCAGAGCAACTCTCTCCTGGGGCATGGAGTTCCCATGGCTTTCACATGGGCCCTTCTCTTGCCCACAAAAATAGCCACAGGACTAACGCCATTTTTTTGATACCAGGGATCGAACTCGGGTCCTTGTGCTTGTGAGGCAGGCAATGGAACCACTGAGCTAAATTGGCCCTTGGCTTTGTTTTTGAGAAAGGGTTTCACTAAGTTGCCCAGGCTGGACTCAAAGTCATGACCCTCCCGTCTCAGCCTCCCACATGCTGGGACTGCAGGTATGCACCACTGCATCCAGCGGGAGCCTTATTTTCTCTGAACAGCACCTTCTGGGGAGAAGGCTCACTCCATCTCTGAAGTGCCAGTACCACTAATCTCTCTCTTAGTTAAGTCGGCCTACTTTGCTCTGGGATTCCTAGGATCACCATAGATTTTGAAGTTTTGAAAGTGGTGTGTGGTCCAGTTAAAGTGTATACACACAGTAGGGCTCTCAGAGTGCAGGGCAGAAGCTGTGCTGTGAAGAACGGGGCTGCACCCAGGCACTGCTAGGAGGTGCCTTCAGCTCTTAAAACAGGCAGCGCAGGTGAGATCTTACAACATTTAATAAGCCACTTACAGGTCCTGTAACTTTCCCAGTTCCCCAGCCGAGACGGCCCCAAGGCTCCACAGCCACGCTCCTGACTGGTCTCTGCATCCCTGCAGCTCAGGGGCTGGATTATCACTTGCCACCAAGAACCTGGAATGAAGGAAGAAGCTTCTCTGATTTCCCCTTCTTGGATCTTTGTTTTCTATTTGGAAGAATTTACCTGTCTGCACCTTATTTTTCCCTTCAAAAGAGGGCCATTTACCTGGCCTGTTTATTCTCTCTAAAGGAATGATATGGGAATAAAGCTATTAATGTGTATATGCTTGGGGCTTCTCACAAGAAATAATAGTTACAAATTATCTGCTTACTCTGAAAATGAAATCTAAGAACTGAAGCCCTGATTACAGGAGAGGAAAGTGTTAAAGCAACCACCATATCTTCAACAAGGACGTTCTGGGCTTTGGCTGGGGTTCATGGGAACACTTCCCCAGCTGATTTGCTACATTTTCTACGTTGCACATGCAACATGGCTCTCTGTTCCTCTGTCACCAGGAAGGCAGTCTCAGATGTCTTGGCTAGCCCACTGAAAGAGATCAATCTGGTGCACACCTGTAATCCCAGCACTCTAGGAGACCCAGGCAGGCAGTAGGGTGAAAGTTCAAGCTTAGTCTGGGTATATTATCGAGACCCTAACTCAGAATAAAAAATAAAAAAGGGCTGAAGATGTAGCTCGGTGCGCAAGCTCTGGGTTCAACCTTTAGGAAGATAAAACAAAGAAGAGACAGAGGGTAGTAAGGAAGAGGAAAAGGAAGAAGAGGAAGAGAAGAAGAAACAGAAGGAGAAGGAGAGCCAGCAAAGAACAGGAGCAGGTGGGCTGGGAACTTGAACAGTCCTGGCTGGTCTCCAGCATGTAAGTGAACAACTATACAACCAAACAGAAGACATATACCACATTCTGCTGTCTGAGGTTGTGTACTGGTGTAAGAGGACATTATTTTGAGGGAATTTGGGGTGAAGCTTACTTTGACATAGGTGGTCCATTTAAACAAGCAGATTACCACTTTCTTTATCCTCACACTAAGAACAGATGTTTACAGTTTGGAAACAGAGTACCTATTGGGTAACAGCAAAGCCCAGTGGTTAAAAGCACAGCCTTTGGAGCCAGACTGCCGGGGCCCAAATACTGGTTTGGCTGCTTCTTCTATGTAATCCGGGGCAAGTAATTAGTCTCTTGTGTGCCTCAGTTTTCCCATCTGTAAAACAGGGATAATAATAATACCTATCTCACAGGCCTGTGTGCGAGGGCTAAGTGGTTAATATGTGTCAAGTGCACAGAAGGGCATAATAAGCTCTCTATAGTATAAACTGTCACCATGATTACTGTGTACAGTGACGGAGAGCAACACCATCATTCATTCTGGCTTTACAGGCTGAGCCCAATTCCTCTCCGTAGGACCTGGAAGCCACTGCTACCTCTAGCTGGGACATGGCTGCCAATATGTGTACTTGCAAAATGTGGTCAGGTGCCTCCATTGGTAGTTTTGGTGCACAGAAAACTCCAGGCCCTGAAAATCTCCTAGTTCTGAATTATTTAGAGAATGTATCAACACTTTGTTTTAGAGAATGCGCTTGTATTTTATGGGTACTAGAGCAATGTCAGCTGAGGCTGACACAAACTTTCGGGCGGACATTTTGGTAAATAACATTTAAATTATTCATACCTTTTAACCCAGGATTCTAATTTCCCAAGACTTATTTTATAGAAATACTTCAATATGTAAAATAATATTTGACAATCATTGGAAATGAGAAACAATTGACCATCCAAAAACAAAGGCTCAACCAAAATGTAATCTACCTACAACAGAACACACATCACCAATACAACGGAAGGGATCTGTAAGCACTCACATGAGTGGTTCCAAGGTAGACAGCTATGTACATATATACGTCATTTAATATAATAAAATATGGTAAATAACAAAGATCTAGAGGGATCATGCACTAGTTTGTATTAACACGGAGCAACATGGAGGTGAGATTGTGAGAATGTGCTTTTGCTATGTACGTTAAATTTGTTATAATTCCTCTTACATATGCCACCCACAAGCACATGCACAGGTGCAGCCAGGGCACCCATCCCTGTGGGCAGTGCCCTCCTCTCACCTTCAGGAAATGCTGAGGCCTGCACAGGGGAGGCGGGAGGCGGACCTAGCAAATCAGTGGGGCTCAAAGAGACTTCTCTGTGGGTCCCACAAGCAGGGGTTCATATGTGTATATGGGCATCCAAGTTTGCAACTCAAGGCTCCACTTGGAAGGCTTTTGCTTCTATACTTACTTGGGGGAAAATAAACTGTAATAATATTCAGAAAATGTTCAAAATATTTCACGGAGGGCCTTCCAAAACAGGAAGGATCTTGGCTGGGACTCAGGAGACATGCAGCCAAATCCCACCAGAGGGGGACAACAATAGCTTGCCTCCCTGTTCCACAAGGTGGCTACAACTATCAGACAAGCTCTGGATGGAAAATGACTTTCCAAACTAAAGGAAACAGGGAACTGTGTTTGTTCCCTGGGGACTGCAGAGGGTCACCTGGGGGAAGGGTACAGAAGCTGTACCTGGGGTGGTACAGACCTACTGAGTCACTGGGCAGGATTGTAGGAGGGACCCAGGGCCAACCTCTATCAAAACGCTAAGCGAGGGTCTGCATTTCCTCTTCCTTCCCTGCTAACTCATGCAGCAGTATAGCCCTGAGCTGGCCATCAGGGACAGCGCTGGGTACAGTAAGATACCAGTAGATTCCCAACCCCCACACAGACCTTCAGCTCCAAGTAGAGGGTGCTGAGGACTGCAGGGAGGCTGCTGCATGTGACTGCAGCACAAGTCTGCTGGAGGACACTGTCAGGCTCTTGGAGGCGATGGCTGCTGAGGGGGATGGGGAGACCACTGGAGATCAGGGAAGAGTAAGAGTGGCCAGCCCTGTGTCCCACCCCCAAGCACCAGCCACGGAAATTCCAGCTGTCTGGGTTCCCGTTCAGAGACTACAGGAGCCTACCTGGTTTTGCAGGCTCGTGGGTCAGCCCCCAGTGCACTCCTTCACTGAATGCACTCCCATGTCGCAGCCATCCTCCACCGCGGCAGCTCTGAGTCACTTCATTCAGTGACCGTTTCAGACAAAGGGACAGCCAGGTGGGTGGATGAGGACAGATTCACACATTCGCTTCCCTCTTTCTTTCTGCTGCCAAAGAAGAGGAACTGTGAGGAGCAGAAACTGAAGCCAAGTAGGGGTGGGGCTGGTGAAAAGGGATGGGGCTTGTTGCTTTCGAGTGAGGGGGAGAATGTGGCTGGGCATGGTTATATGTATTTCCTACGTAGAGCACTTAACATTTTGTCTCCTAAGCACTTTCCAAACACATGGTGATGCCCACTCATACCTGTAAGCACAACTCCCTGCAAGGCTGAGGCAGGAGGATCACAAGTTCGAGTGCAGCTTGGGTAGCTTAGTGACTCAGTGAGACTGTCTCAAAATAAATCATTTACAAAGGGCTGGGGATGTGGCTTAGAGTGAAGGCCCTGGTTTCAATATCCAGCATCCCAAAAGCAAACCAAACAGAAAAAAGACCAAGTTGAAGGGGCTTCAGGTTAAAAAAAAAAAAAAGTCTGAGGCTACATCCTTGTGATCACCGCTCTCACCTAGTCCCCTCACCCTTTTTGAGACAGGGTTTCACTATGTAGCCTAGGCCGGCCTTGAATTTGTGGTAATCCCTCCTGGGATTACAAGCCTGGCTCTGCTCTGGCCACCCTGAACCCCAGCTCTTCCTCATACCTGCTGGATGCATCCTCACCTCTGAGCCTTCACACTTGCTATTCCCTTTATGTGGGACGCTGCCCAGGTATTTGGGGGCCTCCTCCACCCTCTTTGGACCTTTCTCAGCCATCAACTTCTCAGGGAGGCCAGACTCACAGCTCTGAGCCTCATCTCTCCTCCTGGCTTTACTTTCCCTGTGGCTTTCTCACCTCTTGACATTCTACCCTGTTTATCACTGATTGTCCTCTTCCTCCACGATGGATAAGTCTCCTGAGGATGCGGGTTTGCCTGTCTTCGCTCACCACTGTGCTTTGAGTGCCTGGTGCGGCAGCGACACATAGCAGGTACTTGAGAAATTGCTGTTGTCCTCTGTGATTTGCTCTGCAGTCCCTGTACCGTGGTTCTTACACGCGAATGGGTGGGCAGAACCATAGGAAAGAAGCCGTGGAGGAAAGAGGTGACCAAATAAAGCAAAGGACAGGAGAAAGGTATCAGAAAATATGCAAAATTATGTGTGTGGAGGGATGATAAAGAGCAAAGTGGAAGCTACAAAGCGAGATTTCTGATTAAATAATCAGACTTAAGGGCAAATTTGTGACAAGAAGGAAAAAAAAAAACAAAGAAAGAAAGAAAAAGAAAAGCAAGCAGAGAAGGGAAATGGTGGGATGTTCGGGAGTCTAACCTGAACATGAAGGCAATGCCCTGGCTACCCCAAGCCCTGCATGTCTCTCACCACGATGCCATCTGCTGTTGGCGAAGGAGTGGACAGCGGGCCTGGAAGACCAGGAGGGAAAAGCAGAGGAGGAAGAGGGATGGTCAAGCACAAGACCGGGAGTCCAGGTAGAAGCCATTAGGCAAGCTACAGGACTAAAGGCAAGGAGAGGAGAATCTCAGTAGTAGACATGGAGAGAGAGCACCAGGACGGACAGCTGGAAGAAGGTGGCCACCGAGGGAGGAAACAGGTAGAAGTGGGAGGCAAGACACTTCTTCCTGCCATTTGTTTGAGTTCTTAAAATTCTGTGCCTTTTAAAATTTAAATTTGTGATAGCTGGGTGTGGTAGCCTCAATCCCTGCACTCCAGCACTCAGGAGGCTGAGGCAGGAAGACTGTTTCAAGTGTGAAGCCATCCAGGGCTACACATAGTGAGTTCAAGGCCACCCTGAACTACAGGGTGAGATCCTGTCTCAATTAATTAATTAAATAAACTATGTGCTTTTACTATTCTAGTACACTTTCCCAAGGATTTTCATATTCACACACACACACACACACACACACACACACACACAGAGTAGTATATCACACACATCAAATGTCATATGATCACAACAGGTCCCTCTCTTGATGCTTTAACATATAAGTGCTTTAGGGCAGGGGATTTAGCTCAGTGGTTCTGCTGTTTGCCTCGTGAGTACAAGGTTCCGAGTTCCATACCCTGTACATACAAAAAAAAAAGTATGTGTGTGTTCTGTATTATGAGCAGAACAAATTATTCTCGAAAACCAAGATGTGTGTATTGTGCATACAATGTATATGAATGAATTTGGAACAATTATTCAATAGTTTGTAAAAGTTTAATAATTTAGTCATGGTTAGAAGGATTAAGGAAACTTCCCCTTGAATTTGGTAACAAAAAAAGAGAAAAAGTCACTGTCTGAAATTGAATCTATCAAAACAACAACAACAACAAAACCCCAATAGACTGAGCGTGGCGGCATACGCCTATGATCCCAGCACTTGGGAAACAGGCAAGAGGTCTGCCGTGAGTTTGAGGCCAGCCTGGGCTATACAGAGTTCAAACCCAAACTGATATGTAGCCAGACCCTGTCACAAACAAACAAACAACAAAACATAAAAACCAATCCAATAAAGAACAAATGCTTTTAGCTTTTGGCCAAATAGTTCAAATTAAGAGGCTACCTCTAATGGAGCTAAAGATAATAAGAGGCTCTGAGAGATGCCAAAAGGTGAATAGGATAGGTCCTCAGAACTACAATGCCTTTAACACATGCAGTCTGACTGTCTGAAATGGGATGTGTGTAGGCTAAAAGAAGGCCAAGAAACAAGCATAGCTTGTTTAGGCATAGCTTTTAGGCATAGCTGGCTGGCACAAAGGAGAACCTTACCTGATCTGAAAGCTCCAATCCTGATTTTCTAGACATTCTTGACTTGGAGAACAGAAACTGATACTGCTGAATGGAAGTATTCTTTAAATAGGGCTAACTTGCTTTGTTTTTTGGTAGGGTTTTTTTTTTTTTTGTGTGTGTGTGTGTGTGTGTGTGTGTGGTACCAAGGATCGAACTCGGGTCCTTGCGCTTGCAAGGCAGGCTCTGGAACCATTGAACTAAATCCCCAGCCCTAACTTGCTTTGTTTTTTGTTTGTTTGTTTTTTGAGACAGGGTCTCACTATGTAGTTGAGACTGACCTGGAACTATGTAGCCCAGGCTGGTCTCGAACTCACAGCGACTCTTCTGCCTCAGTCTCCTGAGTGCTGGGATTACAGGCGTGTGCCACCATGCCCGGCATCTAACTTGCTTTGTTCTAAAGTATCGCTCACTAAGATAACTGTGGCTGTAACTATATGTAAGGTCATCTCTTTTAAAGGAATGCCCCCCCACCCCCACCCCATGAAGCTTCTAAGCTAAAAACTGTGTGTGTAATCTGGCCAGAGTGAAATTTCTTGTTGTTAACTGGCAAATGGGCAAGTTTGTACATAGATCCTTTAGTCATGTGAGTTTTTGGACACTGTATTGGATTGCCTGGGTATGGAAAGCCCTGTACAAAATTCCCCACTAAGTCCTACCAACCTGAACACTGTTCAAAGAACTCTGAAAGAGACTGTTTCTTTTCTTTTTTCTTTTTGGTACTGGGGATTGAACTCAGCACCTTTCACTTGTGAGGCAGGTAGCGGAACCACGGAGCTAAATCCCTGGCCCAAGATTGTTAAAGTGTGGCCACCAGGAGGGCTTATCTAAAGCAGCCAGCCAGTTTCTCTTTTTTGTCATCTCTTTTTAGCTGCAATTAAAATGCAATGGCCAAAATAAATATATAAAGTGAAGATCATAGTGCAATATCTGAAATTACTCAAAAATCTTGGCATCAGCCCAGCAGTATGTAGCACACTTTCCATCCGCAGTTAGTACCACTCTAAGTGTTCATGTTGCCAAAGGAGCAGAGGATTGAATGCACGACACAGACTCTTGGAGGTTTTCTCTTGACAACCAGGGCAGCTCTGAAGAAGCAAAGCAAAATGTCCCCAGATGACAAATGGGGCTGACTCTTCTCTGGAAGAGCTTATATTTCTCTGGAAAGTTCAACCAGCATGGTTCTCTTTCTGAGGAATCAATGTCTCCACATTATTTTTCCATCTCCACACCAGAGACACCAGAGGACCAGATTCAGACCTGTTGTTTCTTCTAGCCAAGATAATTTTATTCCATTTTGCATGTTTTGGTAACTATTTCCTATCCATTCCCTCAAATGTATTCCATACTCAGATGCCTCTAGCAGACAGAGATGACTAGCTGTGCCTGCACCTCATTACTATAGGAAGAATAATACCATCATGAAAAATACCAAGATATGTGACCTAGGGAAGGCCAATTTCCCAAGCTGCAAGGTCAAAACAGCACATTCCATCATCACGTTAGCATTTACTTCCATCAGGAGATATCCTTCTCTGAATGCTAGTGGGCTTTTCCTTGTAACTGCCCACGCTCTGAGCTGGATGCAGGGAGGCTGAATAGATGCTTCAGGAAGGTCAGGCTCAAGACCCAAGCTACCAGCATCATAAAGACTCCTTCAGAGCTAGCTGTAAAGAGGTAGGAGGGCCACCTGATGGAAGGCTTGGGCATTAATCTCTCTCTGCTTGGTCCCTCCATGGCTCCTTCAGGTCCTTTGAGCCAAGGCTATGGCAGGACAATAATCTTTTTCTCCAGCTTCTGTTGCGGGAACAGGAAGTTTCTCATGATCTCATCCAACTCCTCCAGGGCTAGCTGAGCATGGAGCTTGGCCACATCATCAGGCTCCAACTGTACCACGTGCTTCAGCAGGTGGTAGAGATCCTTGAGGACGTCTCTCAGCACCTGTACAAGAAGGACAGGGTTGTGACCATCTGTACACAGAGTAAACCTGGTGGCTCCCTTAAGACAGTAAGGCATGGGCCAGGGATTTAGCTCAGTGGTTCTGCTGCCTGCCTCGCAAGCGCAAGGACCCGAGTTTGATCCCTGGTACCAAAAGAAGAGACAATAAGGATGGCCCTCTCGCGTTGGAGAGGAGGGTGGAGTGGCTATAACACGTGTCCTCATTGGCTTTTTTTTTGTTTGTTTGTTTGTTTTGGTTTTTTGAGACAGGGTCTCACTATGTAGTTGAGACTGACCTGGAACTCACTATGTAGCCCAGGCTGGTCTCGAACTCACAGTGATCCTCCTGCCTCAGCCTCCCGAGTGCTGCTATTACAGGCGTGTGCAACCATACCCGGGATCTCATTGGTTTTCTTTGTGTTTCTCACTCACCCGATGCCTTACTACACGGACTTTGGGGCTGGTGCTCTTCTTTACTCTGGGCCTAAGTATAGATCCTAGGCTTTCCCTTCAGCCCCAAAACATGGCAGAGAACTCAGAACCACACATAGGGAAGACAGCCCGATATGGTCATTTCTAGAGCAACAAATTATGAGCACTGTTGTCTTGAGCTCCCACAAAGCTTTCTGCTGACACCCACAGAATAGGCACCTACCTTATAAAATCCAGGAGGTTATTTCTTCAGAAATCATGCCTTTCATACCCCTGAATTTATAATTTAGTCCCATTTCCATGCCACCTTCATTCACCATACATACACACATACATAGATATATATTTTTTTCCAGCTGGAACTTTGCACTGCAGCACAGAAGGACTCCAAGGATGGAGCCACACCCATTTTCCATGACCAATGTTCTGATGTCATAATCTAACATGGAACTGGGAGGGCACCCAAAGCTCCTTCTTCTAGGAGCTCCTGCTTCACTACAAACTCCTTCTGGCTTGGCTACTTCTAGTAGTTAGCAAGAAATAGGTGTTATAGTTTATACCTCTAAAGCTTCATGCAATCATAGGCAGAGCTTATTGGGGAAGTGACCGGATCATGGGCATGATTAGTCACAATGGAGTCCAGAGGTAAATGTGCTATTAGGAGGTGGGGCCTGGCCAGAAGTGGGTTAGTGGGGGCGTGGCTCAGAAGGGTCTACTTCCCTTCCTTGCCCCACCTTGCTCTGCAAGGGGCTCTCCTACTGTACCCTTCTGCTATGCTGTTTCTTTTGGTTGGTTTGTTTGTGTTTTGAGACAGAGTCCCACTATGTAGTTGAGATTGCCCTGGAACTCACTATGTAGTCCAAGGAGGGCTGGGATTACAGGCATGCGCCACCATGCCCGGCTAGCTGTGTTGTTTCTTTTTTGGAGCCAGCTGACCATGGACTGACATGTGAGCCAAAATAAATCTCTTCTTAAAAAAAAAAAAAAAAGTGTGTAGTACATAAGATCCTGATGGGATAACTGACAATGTGAAATAGGAAGAAAAGGGCTAAAGGTGTAGGGAAAGTGGGACGGGTAGGGAAAGGGTAATAAGGGAAAAGAAAAACATATGAGAAAATGAAAAAATGGAAATAAAGTGTTTGTAAATGGGGAGGGGAGGAGGGGGTGAAAGGAGGGCAGGGACGAGGGGGAAAAATGAGAACCAAGACCTGTTGTGTAGAGGTACAGGATCCCAATGATGAATGTAACTGTACTGTATCCCTAAAATGTACCAATAAACTCAATGAGAGAAAAAAAAAATAGAAGTATGGGTCCCAGTTATTGTGTTTCAGTGATGAGGAAAGTGACTAAGACAAAACATTTCAAAGAAACGGAAACTCAGACTTAGGAATCATCTGGTCAAAGTAGGGCCAGAAAACAAGTGGGATACATGGGGTAATGTGACTTGCTTTCAGCTACTTGTGAAGTTACTTCTGGTCTAGAGTTTCTTGCTTCAACAACCACAAAATTATTAGCCCTACTTTACAAACAAGACTGAGGATTAGCAGGTTAAAATTACTAAATTAGCTGGGCGTGGTGGCACATGCTTGTAATCCCAGCACACGAGAGGCTGAGGCAGGAGGATTGCTGCGAGTTTGAGACCAGACTGGGTTACATAGTGAGTTCCAGGTCAGTCTCAACTACATAGTGAGACCCTGTCTCAAAAAAAAAAAAAAAAAAAAGATTACTAAATTAAAAACTGGTGGAGAACTAGGGATGTTGCTCAGTGTTAGTTGCCTAGAATATTTGAGGCCCTGGATTTTATCCTCAACACCATTGCAGATCAGCAGCAGCGGCAGCAGCAATAAAAAAATGAGTGCAGTCAGGTTTCTAATACCCAGATCCTGTGTTCTTATTTTACATTTTTATTGAAAAGGTAATACAGTACAAAAAAAAGCACACATTAAAAAGTTAGGCTCTCTCTCTCTCTTTTTTTTTTTTTTTTGATACTGCGGATTGAACTGAGGACCTTGTGTTTATGAGGCAGGCTGTGAAACCACTGAGCTAAATCCCTGGCCCAGTTAGGTTCTCTTTTACTGATTCCATGTTCCCCTTCTCAAAAGGTCAGCCCACCATGACTGCTCCCGCCTGTGCTAGAGATCAAATCCATGGCTTTGTGCATGCTAAGCACATGCTCTACTACTGAAATGTATTCCCAGCCTCCTTTTGTATCTATTTGCTTGTCTTCTATTCTGCTTTTTTGAGACTGAGTATCACTATTTAGTTCAGGCTGGCACTGATCTGGCGATGATCTTCCTGCCTCAGCCTCTTGAATGCCGAGATTATAGGCATGTGTCACCACACTCAGTGTGTATCTGTGAAGTATAGTATTTAATGAGTATTAACCTATTAAAAATAAATAGGTTTGGTCTGGGGATTTGGTCAGTGGATCTGCCGCTTGCCTTGTAAGCTCAAGGACCTGAATTTGATCCCTGGTACCAATAAGTAGGTAGGTAAGTAAGTAAGTAAGTAAATAAATAAATAAACAAACAGGCTTACATTTAAGTGAATTACCTATTAGGCACAGATTTCTGATAAGGCCATTTAACAGGTAAAAGATCTAGAACTTGGGCCAGGGATTTGGCTCAGTGGTTCTGCCGCCTGCCTCTTCAGTGCAAGGGCCCGAGTTTGATCCCTGGTACCACCAAAAAAAAAAAAAAAAAAAACCAAAAAACAAAACAAAAAAAAGTCTAGAACCTGCCCTTAAAAGCTGTACAGTCAGGTGGGAGAGGGAACATGTGCACATAAATAAAGGCAACATAGAACAGAAAATAGTGAGGACCCTAAAAAAGATGAGTGATGAGAGGTTGGAGGAAAGGGAGGTTACATTTTAGCAACACTTAGGGAACTGGAGATGCAAAGTGGAAAGGATGAGAAACAGTCAGTGTGGTGAGTGACAAGCATACTAGTGCCAAGTGGTCTGGACCAGGGTCCCTGAGCATTACAAGCACACTTGCAGAGCTGCAAGTCTTGGGCTTGCTAAGGGAACAGAGAAAGAGCCTTCCCATCTTTTGATCATCTCGGTCAGCATGGGTCCTGGGGAGGAGGAAAGCAGGAGAAAAGATTCCCTAGAACAAGCGCTCAGGCCCTTCCTGTCCCACAGCTGGCCTCCCTCGGGTTGTCTGTGCTCCAGTGACGCGAGCCTTCTTTCTTTCCTTTTTGGAGAAAACTTCCTTCTGTGCAGGGTGGCTCCTCACCCTGAGAAGCTATTTTACTTTCTCTTCATCCCTCCACTCCTCCACAATCTGCCTAAAATACCATCTTTCAGGGATTCCTTCTCTAGTTCCCACCTAAGGCCTTCCTACACTTCCTGTAGTTATAGTTAAACTGAATCACTGTCAACTTGACTGTTTAGGAACTGCCTAAGGGTTGAATAGAGGGCTCTTTTGCTTGTGTCTGGGTGGGCTATGAAGGCGCAACTATGAAGACGTGACTTAGGCCCCAAATCTAGTGCCCGTCCCTGCATCTCTGGCACTGTTCCCCTGCTCGGCTCCACCATGCCCTTCTGCCGTAGTGTTCCTGCCTTGGAGCCCAGGGGGCGCAAACTGAAACCTCTCTTCCTTTAAACTGTGGGTGTTGGGTATCATGTCCCAGCAATGGGAAAGCTGACTAATACAACCTCCTATCATGATTGTAATTTACCGTGTAAAATAGACACATAGGTCCTGGGAATTGGATATTGTGTAATTTTAAAACGTCTTCCTCAGGAGAGAGAGCTTTTTTTAAATGGAAAAGAGAATAAGAAATGGAGGGAAGGGGGAGAAAGGGGAGGGAAAGAGGATTAAAAAAAAAAGGAATTTAGCCAGGGATTTAGCTCACTGGTTCCAGCACTTGCCTCACAACCATAAGGGCCCGCGTTCAATCCAAGCACCAAAAAAAAAGAATTTAAAGAAAAAAATAGAAATACAACTTTTGCAAATGGGAAGGGAAACAAGAGATGGAAGGAGCAGGGGGGAAAAGGAGAGGTAGGAGAAAAAAGAATTAAAATGTGATAAGCAATGTACCAACTTCCCACAATAAATGCAATATGTACTGTAAATGTGTACTAATAAAAAAAACCGTCCTCACTAGATCACAAGTACTTTATCTTCTGTGTGTATGTAGTGCTGGGGACTGAACTCAGGACCTTGTGCTTGCAAGGCAGGCGCAGTGCCACTGAGCTACATCCTTGGCCCAAGATCACGAGTACACTGTCACTGAGGCCACGCCATGTCCTCTTAATTCTGGGGTAGCCCCAGGGCCTCACAAAGTGCCTGGCATGTGGCAGATATGTAAAATATTCATGAATGAATGAAGGCATGCCTGTTACTCCTGGTCAGTCTCTTGGTAAAAACCTAAAATTTTAAGAACGTCCATTGAAACACAGACAACTTGGGCTGGCTTCATGGGTATGTAACCGCCGCTGCAAGTCACACCAGGTCCCAAGCAAAGAGGGCCCATACTACTTAATTTAGTGATCTGTTGGTGCAATCTGAAAATTCCTAAGGCTTTTGTCTTCAAACTTGTTTTGTAAATGAGGACCAATGAGATAT